ACAAGGTTTTTTATTAATCTTAAATACGGCGCGAAGTTTCGCAATTTTAAGCCGTTAAAGGTGTTTTATCTATATAAATACAAGACTTTCGATATTTTTTTTGCTATAATAAAATTATTCATTTCATCGTCGATTAGCAGCTTTTAAAACAACATGGTTCGTTTAAGGCGATGTATTTTCTTGGAGTATTGAAGCAATTTGACCACTTAAGTAGTGTATAATTCTTATCGTGAATATATAATTACGATAACGATCCTCATTAAACATAGTCTGCTAAAAATGAACATGAAAACATACACGGCGCTAGACCATATGGCTAGATTATTAGATTAGTTTAATAGATAAATAACATACTGTACGTTCGTTACTCCAAGGGTCATTGTCCTAAAAGAGTTTTTAAGAAATTCCTTTAATGGGCGCTGAACCACCTGTGCTCTTGCGCAGGTGTTAAAATTTGTACTTAAACAGCGGAAGTAGATGTAATGGCGATATAAGAAAATGTAAAAGTCTCCCATTTCATTACATTTACATTTGTCACCATTTGAATCAGTCCTTTAACAATTCCCACCGCTGGGACACGAGTCCCATAAGAGTATACAGCTTTAATGTACATACAATAGTCGCTAAAGACCAACGTGTCTTGTAGAGACGTGAAACATGGTGTCAAATGTTTGATTCTAAACGCTTTTATCCTCAATCATATTAGTTTGTTTTTAATACATTTGTCAATTTTATTAGAGAATGTCTATATGAATGACTCCAGACAATAATGGCCAAGTGGTTTATGCATTCGTTAAGCGAGTAAGGTCCAGAGTTCGGTTCCTGGTGAATAACAATACTTTCTCATAACGAGTGGCTAAGTGCGTGTAATAGTGTGTAATAAGTAAATAATATTGATAAGTGAAACAGAGAAATCGAAATTGGAACGTTCGAATTTTAAATTTCGAATTGAAATCGAACTAAGCATCCGTTTGTCCACAAACTTTAATAGACAAGTGTTTGAATGTTTTTCTCCGTACAAAGCAGAATTTTCTCCCTTTTATAAAAACTGTGTATTTCCCCTGGTACGCTAAGGGCCTCTCAGTTTTACGCATTGCGGTAACCACTACCTCAGAGACTCAATCAAACAAACTTGATTGAACATTTAAATATGCATGTTTATTTAATAGCTTCTTTATATTGATACAAAGCAATAAAGCGTAGAGTTTTCTTGATGCAAGATAACCATATAACATTAAAACATGATGCGTCAACCTATTTTGGCGATAGATATTCGGAAATCTCGGCGTTTTCATCAGTGGACGGTGGTTCGTGACTCGCACGGATTTTCTATGTTTCAGAAAAATTTAATATTGATTAGGAACCCGTTGGGCCCGGTGGGCATCGAACTATTGATTATTACATTGCTACCATTAAAGCCCGTAAAAGTATACTACATATACTACACGCGTGCGAAGTAACGATCTACGTTTGAATCCTGAGTTACGCGAAGTATATCGTATTTGCAACTTCTCTAAGAAACAGCCCGGAGTCTGGAAGTTGAAGGTATCACCCCCGTGCCTCGAAGGACACGTTAAGCTAATTCTATAGAAATCAAAAATAAGTAATACTTTGTATACCTGACGCAGCTGCCACTTACGCGCGGGAGCAAGTCGTAGGCAATTATAGTAAGTACTATTCGAGTAGGTTTAAGTGTTGGCACGCTCTTAAAACCACTTAATTATGGTTTCCAAAGATTCAAATAAAATGCTTTAACGGTTTAAAACGCGTAATATATTAGTACTAATTATAAAAAAATTAAGAAGGCCGCAGCAGCCGTGTTCACGTGAAGAACTATAACTATAATATATTTCGCATTTTAACCGTTCGTGTTTTATTTGAATGAGTACTACTGGCGTAAACTACAGACAGTATTCATGAGATTTATTTTTGAATTCAATGGTTATATTAAAAATGGTAAGGATGTGCTAATAGTTTGATAAATCTTAATTAAAAATTTTCTATGACCATAATTTTATTAAACAGAATTATATTTTTTGTTGTACTAAAAAATATATATTCCTGACCTCCCCCGCAATCCTGATGATGGAAAGTCTAGTTCGCTAGACTCGTTAGTCGTTGGTGTTTTCTTGCATACTGCGGTCATAAAAATGCATATTTACGAAAGTGTCCCCATCATTGTGGGGTTGTATCTACATTATTCATAAGCGCCACCTGTCGGCGACCAACTGACAATTGCTGTGTGTGTTTTTCTAATAAATAACTAATTCCTAGTCACGCATAAAATGTCCTAAAAGAGAACCCCTATACTTCTATGAAGTACTTTGCGTTTACAAGGTATACGAATAATTTATTTAATCAACTACCTACTTTTTTAAGTAAAATTGAATATACCTACTTGTAACTCGTGAAAGCAATAATGTCTAATGATAGCGTAATTTGCTCCGTTACGTAACGCGTTACGAAGTCTGTCTGGAATTCAGTGTTAAACAGTTTTACTTTATGTAAGTCGAGCGTCCGGACACTTAGGAAAATAATAATTTAAATAAAACTTTTTATTTTATCTATTATAATGCTATTGTATGTATTTATTGAAATATAATTATTACTGTATCTTTAATAATTTAGTAAACAAATTCGTATAACATTTTATATAGACATTAAAAACATTTTTGGACACAGCCAAATGTAGCCATTGTGTTGAGCTACGTCACAGACTCTAGCTTTATTCGCACAGATCTGTGTTACTCGTTTAATTTAATTTATAACCGTTTCAGCGCTGCACTCTAGATATCTATCTCTTGAGATAACTTTCATTAGTATAATAAAATATCCGTTTTGGCACAAGCCGGTTACCATACAATCGGACGTCACTCCTTTTTGTTTAGTTGTTTTTGTCACTCTTATTCCAAAGCTATTAAGCTCGCATTTACGAGTTCCAAATCCAAAGATCCCGCCGAAACGTGTTCTCCTTTCAAACGAAATGTCGTTGACGCACAGACTATACAATTCTAAAATCTAGACCTTATTCCGTTGCGTTCGGAAATAGCGCCGGTGCGTTCGAAAAGAGTTTTTTGTTCGCGACCCCAGGTTTCGGCAGTCGAGACGTGGATACGATATTAAAATATATTAAAAAATCTTAAATTCAATTGTAATTTGAAAGCAAGGGAGAGGCATAATGGATCAAGTCTTACGCCCTGTTTTTGCGGTGTTGTAGTTCGCGAATTCTTAGCGCTCCTTTATGTGTACACACTGGTTTCCGAACGCAGCATGTGTCTGTTACTGAAAAGCGCGCCAAGTTTCTAATTACACAGTCAATTTGGTTCAGCGGGACGTATGAGTTATTGCCTTAGCGTAACCGAGATGAAATCGCCCGTTTTGGCGCACAATGGCGCGTTTGTAGGGAAATTTAAGGATTTCAAAGCTACCTTATGAATATGAATGATTCTTTATGCCGTATTAGTCTGCAATTAGGATGTTTATTGGTGTAATTCACTTGAAATTTGGCTCTTTATTAACAGTTTGAATATTAATTGTAGAGAACTCGTTCGAAATTACTTCCCGTTTATTTTAAACGCAATTCGTAATTACTTAATAAATGTATTTTATTATAATTAGCAAAATAAACGCTTCCTTTTTCTATTAGAATGTTAAGCAAGTTAGATTCCTTATATGTCGACATGTCTTTCTGGGTTAGTTCAAGTCCTGCCCGTGTCTTAAATTTCGTTCAATCTATAATCGATTTTTAATTTATATAATGTGAAAGACATATAAAATAAAATCTACTGTCGCTACTGACTCTGGTTGACTTCTCAGTAGCTAAGCATCAGACATTTTTTTATTTGTATTTTAATATATAATAATAATAGAACCGCGTGGAAACAGTTTTTGTTTCCGATTTCAAACTCCATTGTAAGTTAAAGTTATCGAGAGCAAATGAAGCGTTATTGTCTTCAATCGAATATAGATTCGAGATCACGATCTCAATAAGAAAATGGCCGTAGCGAATGCCTCAACCGATTACATGTATCACGACGGTTACAAAATGGCCGTGAAATTATTTTTGTGTCCACATTCCGACTAACTGTAACCAGTTGACGAATCGTCACTTTGACAGCCTTTGATAGATGTTCTAGACTTCCGTCAATGTTTTAGAATCTTAGAAAATGAATAATTTAAATTCACTCGTCTATGAAGGAAATGTATGTTGTGAAATACCGTAGAAGAAAGCTGTTCCCGCCATTATACTTCTAACATTAAACGCAAGCAGTTATAACATTTTAAAAAATGCACAAAAACAAATATAGTATTACTAAATTCATTATTTACATTAAACAGTTAATTATCGTAGCCTTATCGTATATAGCGATTTCTTCCAGATAACCTGAAAATATTAATAATTAAAGAGTAAAAGTCAATAAAGATAGGAATAAAATACAAAGATATCAAATACTAACAGATGTTTCTTCTGTTAAACGTAAACAGACTTAAACAGTAAAAATTTAAGATTAATTTATTTTGAAAAAGTCACGAGTCAAAAATCAGTCTCAAATATCACTAGACAACAAAATTTAGAAAATGTTACTTGACTTTTTGATTTTTCTTATATTCAATATAGTTAACTGCAACAGTAGGGTTAGTCGGAAGGTTTCGTTTTTATTAACCATTTAGAACTTAGGTTAGACTTTTACCACGTTTCCTTATTTGATATACAAGTCAATAGTCGCCGGTATTAACAAATAATGATAAAAGTACTCCTGTGTACTCGGCTGTTTTAAAATTCCATTAATATAGAAGGAAACACCTTTATACCCTGAATCCAATCACTGTTTACACACGAAAACACTTATCGAGGCTATTATTAAACTTTAATATTGATTGGAATATCTTTTGCTTATTATTTTTTTACAACATTATTATTTTTATTTTTCTTCCAAGACTATTTGCAGCAATATTAACAGTTTTAATTTTATTTTATTTTATTTTTCCACAGATTCAAAATGCTGAAGTGGGCAGTGTACACCAAGAAGGGACAAGATGTTCAAGTGAATTCTGAAAACGAGCGTGAAGATTTTATCATCAATAAAAACAAGCCGTACGATGATAAACTCAGAAGATCTCTAGATGCCCAATCAGTTAAGAAAAGTAAAAAGCCAAGTAGATATCAAAGACGGTCGCTTGGTGCCGCTGCGAGGAAGAACGGCACTAAAAATGTAGATAAAGAGAATATTAACTTTGTAGGCCATACACCAAATTACTACAGGGAAGGTTTCAAAAAATCTGAAAGCAACGCTCTAAAAGACGTCAGCAATATAACCCCTACTTCAGTTACACCACATTTCGAGAGAAGAAAATTCTACTACGATGAAAAGGACCTTTCATCTGATTTACCACCGACTCCTCCAACCTATAGCAGAAGAGTAAGAGAAGCTAAGAAAAGGAAACTCGAGATGGCAGGCATTAACAATAACGAAGTTTTTTCTAGGAACAGTGTTGTATATAAGTCTGAGAGAAGAATTAAAAACATCGATCGCAGCCACCTCAGCTCTACTCTAAGTCATAGTTTATCAGAACCATCTTTAAACGATTTATCAGAAAGACTCAGCGCAAGCACAGAGAATAGTAAAAACTCCTTGGCATTTGCGAAAGCACATAACATTAAACCGGTTTGCACAACAAAAGCGATGAGCGAAGATGTCGTAGAGATAGAATATGATGAAGATTTAGTTATAAATTGTGTAGAAAAGCCTCTAGATACTAACAGATTAGAGAAATCAACGCTTCCAATATTTGGGCACAGAATGTTTACAGATAATCCGCTGTATTTTAATAAAAATGAAAGCGACATTTTAAATATTAGATCTTTGAAAAGAACGCGAAAGAAATCGAACGAATTCGAAAGTTCGTTTAAGTCTCCGTCGGTTGACAAAAGGGATACTCATGCTTTAGTAAGAGATGGCTGTTCACCCGTATCCATCACACCACTATCGGTAAAGCTTGCGGCTCTTAGGTTTAGTGCAATGAGTACTCACACAAAACCTCAACGTGTAATCTACCCTAAAGAAGAAATTACAGAATATTTTCCCAAAATAGACAATCCGTTCACGATACCTATTAAGGATGAAGAAAGTTCAACTGAGTTAGAAAATAAATATATTTTGTCAAAAGATTCAATCGGAAGTGTCTCAGATGCGACTGTTTCTACTACTCAAATGGGAGATATTACCCTTGAAAGAATGATTGAAGATATCATAAAGAGTACAAAAATAGTAAAGTCGAAGAGACGAATCTTACAAAAAGAACTAAACGGAAGAAATATCGAAAGCGATAATGCTTGTCTTGTCGAGGCAAAGCCAATATTCGTTAATCCACCGACGAAAACCAAAACCAACCTTATCAAAGAAGCGAAATGCGTAAACATATCTAGGGAAAATTCGCTATCGCCAAAAGCGTCACCTACGAAAAAATTGATTTCTTTCCAAAGAGATACAGCGAAACTACTAAAGAATGTACCAATCGGTGGTTACATTCTTGACGATGGCGATGGTTACAACGAAAGAGAAGTAAAAACACCAGACGTCGATAAGAAATCAAAAGAAAACTTTTTAGATTTCAATAGATCTTTAATACGATCTCGTTCTATGAATGCATCTATTGACAATCACAATGTAGAATACATATCTTCTGAATCGACTCCAGATCTATATGCAGCGTTAAAAGAATACGGACTAAGACGTCAGAAATGTATACGCCGAAAGAAATCTACGGTTAGCAACGACAGCCAATTTAAACAGAGGGATAGACCTCTTTCTTTAGAAATGGGTCTACCTAGTCCAGATTCGCAATCACTACCGATCCCTCTTTCCACCTCTGACGCACCGTCTGACCGTCTACCAAACAACTCTTTGAGGTCAAACGTCTCTCACAGCAGTCTGAAACCATGCGAGCCGATACAAAATAGAAAATCAAGAGACTTGTTTGGTCTCACTCTAGAAAACGGTATACCCAGTCCGATAACCCCGGGCCCAAACTTAAAACGAACCAGCAACATTTTAAGCGAGGAAAGAGCGCATAAAACTAGTAAGTTATACGAAGATATGTTGCCCAATGACATAGCTACACCAGTGATAGAACATAGATCATCTAGGCGCTGTCTAACCTATTCCCCAGAAGAGAACAGTATTAGTAGTAGTGAAGAAAAGAGAGGAAGCATTGCAAGCAATCGTTTGGAGAGAAGCGCAGATCGGTTTCAAGCCTTAAAGGGAACGATTGATCTAGAAATTATTACGAGAGATGAATTGATTGACGTGCACGGTGAGTGGTGACTATCGATCCTTCTTCTTCTTCCTCCTCTTAGTATCTCTAGTATGTTTTGGCAATTTTGTAATTGGTTTTGTTTTTAGTTATCCGATGTCGCGACTTGCAGAGGTCTTCAGGGAAAATGGATGATATAAACGCATATGCAAAGGTACGGTTATTTATAACGACAAACATATTTTTGTTGTTCGTTAACTACTTAAATATACATCTATACTAATATATAAAGCTGAGGAGTTTGTTTATTTGCTTGAATGCGCTAATCTAAGGAATTACGAGTTCAAATTGAAATATTATTTTTGTGTTGGTTAGAACACAAAAATTATTTGGATGCCCAACCTAAATTGGGTTTGCAAAACCTAATTTGGATGCCCAAAATAACGGTTCTCGCGGACGAAGTCGCTGGCACAGCTTGTATAAAATATGAAGCTTAACCAAATGGTAGTCTATGCATCTCAGTAATTAAGATAAAATAAAACACTTTAACGGTTTAAAACGCGATATATATCAATCGAAGCATCCGAAACGTCGGGCCGTACTTAAAATTAGTTTAACTAATAATAAGGGTTTTTAACCGTTAAAGATTTTTATTTAAATGAGAATATAATGTTTGTTATCCAGTAGGAGGTCACAAAACTAAATAACAAAAATAAGGAAAAGTTTTGAATATATTGTACTATTTCCATGTTGGCAAGCCTTGTTCCCTAAACATGGATAAAATTGAGGAAATGAAAGCATACAGTCGTAAAACTTTATTGTCTCATTTGCTTTATGAGTATCGGCGTATAATTTTATGGTTACATTTTACGGTATTTTTTCATTAGAAAGTTGCAATTCGATATTGATATAACCCATTTGTAAGTGTAACGAAATGAAGTTGCATTTTCACTTCGCATTACACAGTTCTGTAGAAAAATCTGTGTTAGGATGAACTGTACTATGGAATTTAAGAAATGTAAGGAAAAATGTCGTTCGAAGATGTTAAATACGATGGAATAAATCATTATATTTAACATATAATTCTTATTATTACTGCCATATATGTAACTGATTTTAGTAGGCGTTACATTTTATATAATATAAATAAAAGAGTAAATTCTTCTATCTTCTCTTCGTATTGTTCTACCAGACGTCGGATCAGCGATTATGTGCTAATCATTCGATTAGAATGGGTTAAAACCAGAGAAAACATTACAATATCTTTCGGTTGAGGACGATACAGAAAGATACTACAATAAATTAAAATCTAGAAATCTAGTCTCTTGTTACAGTTTATATTCATTATATATAGATAAAGTTAAATTTTTGTTTTTCTAATAAATATAATTTATTTCCAAATCGCAGGTTGTAATAAGCGGTGTAGCTGAAACCCAAACACTGCCATCACAGCGCTCGATATTCCAACGGACCTCTGTTCTCTATGGTAAACGAGAGCCGGAATTCCAAAGACACCTGAAGTTATCACTACCACCAGCTATCTACGAACATCAGATGCTGCATATATCAGTATGGCACAGGGATAAAAAATATAGGTTAGTCAATCTTAGAGACCTGCTAACTAACTATATTTATATGTGTGTTGTTCCTGTTGTTGGTTATGAGCTGTTGTTGGGCGAGGTTCTCTTGCAGACAGATGATTTAAAGGCCTTTTTTTACCTGACTTAAACCGACTAAAACCCTACAGTAGCACCTCTGACACAAATGTGAAGCATCCTGGGGTCTCTTTGGAACTCGCAGGGTAGCCTATTGACTCGTTCATATCATGTAGATGGTTGGGTTTAAAGTCCTTAGACTCACTGTTCTAGTCCCTGTTGCAGGCTTTGCCGCAAATTTAATGGTCAAAACCGGGGCCGACAGTTTAACGCGCTCTCCCAAGGCGCGGATATACAAGAATTTTAAAATCTTTTCGAAACAACGATAGTACTGTCTATAGTTTACGCGAGTAGTACACATTTAAATAAAACACTTTAATGGTTAAACTTATTTGAAAACGATTTTTATTTAAACAACGATAGTGTTTTGTTTTGTCTTAAAAACATACGACGCGTTTTCCCGCCTCACCTGTTTAGCACACCAATAAATATATAAGCACGACTCTTCCGACTTAAATTTTATTTATTTGCAACCGTTTCGCATAACTATAAAGGCTTATAAATATTTTTACTATCAGAAATAAAAGGTTGGTTAATATTGAGTTTAAATACTTAGAGTTAACTTAAAAATATAAACATTGGCATTTTATTACGGAGATATTAAATGTTTTTTTTATTTATTTATAAAGATCCAATGCGACAATGACTTCTAACACCTTAACCAACGAATATATACATTACATTAAAAGCAATAAGTATTATAGATAATATTAAAAACGTATCTAACATTTTAATAAAACTCTGTAACGGTTTAAAGCGTGGCCACGGAGAGAGTTCTCCCCGTAACTGCTGCAAAGCATCCGAAACGTCGGGCCCAGGTAAAAAATCATTTTAAAATAAGTTTAACTAATATATCGCGTTTGAAACCGTTAAATTGTTTACTTAAATGTGTACTACTCGCGTAAACTACATACAGTATTTAATGTCTCTAACCCTATTTTTGATATTGAGTCTAAAATGTATGTTTAATGTCTTGGTAGACGCTGGTCAAATATTTATATAGATATTATATGTTTGTTTCTTTGTTAAAACTGTATTGTAGTCAAAAACTTCAAGTAAACAAAACATATTTCATATGGCATGGTCAGTCGAAAAACAAGCAACGTAATTAAGCTGAAAATTAAATAACGGAAACGAAAAAATAGCCTATTAACAGGATGCTATTGATGACCCACCACTCCACTATGCTGTAACATGCGCGCGAACGAGTGTGACATGTCATTTTTGTACCCCGTATATTTAGACGAGTGATAGAAGTTAAAATATAATATGAGTAATCATGTACACATGTAATTTGGAAGTATAAGACGACTACAGTAACGCGATACAGAACGGTACAATCTACCTTCCCATTAGACGTTAAATGTGTTTCAATTTGGTTTTGTTACCTTATTAGGAAAGTAACGTGATTTCCTGTTTAACTACTACAAAGATAATCATGAAACCTCAGTATGGGAACAATGAGTTAAATAAGACACTTCCTATCCCCTGTGACCATGGCTGCTTCAAAACATGCGAAACGTCGGGCCGTAGTTGCAATAAATTATTAAGTTAACTAACGTATTTCGAGTTTTAAACCGTTAAAAGTGTTATATGTGTACAACTCGTAAACTACAGGTGTAAATAATGAGTTAATATTATAAGACGTAGAATTGCTTATTGTACGATAACGTCACTTTTTATTTTCATTTAAAACGTATGTAACATAGCTGTTACATTTTCAGCTTCAGGTAAATGAATAAAATATGACTAAAATTTATTAGATTGTTTTTACTAAAATTCTGAAATTATTGATAAATATGAAATCAACAAATGTATTTCACAAAATTTATAGATATACATATATATTATTGTATTTAATTCATCAAAAATAAAATGTTGTGTAAAATAATAAATATAAACCTACATAGATTTAAAAACTGAAAATACCTTGAAAAAAATTTCCACTTCAGCAGGACTTGAACCGACATCGCCAGCGTAAAAGTGTAGTAACATATAAAATATTAAAGTTTTCAATGAACACAGTATACAAAATACAGTAGACTAGAAATTGGGTTTACTTCCCGCGACTCACCTAATGTGTCGACACCCGAAACTCACACTCATACATAAGATATAGCGGGTAGGATTCTGCGCAGCGCAATGCGCAGAACGATCGATTTTGGTGAACCCAGCCAGTCGTCAAAGACTCATGGTGCCAACGCCCGCCTGCGGAATTTTGTGTTGTGTCGTGTTAGTGTCAGTGTGTGGAATTAGGATTTTCTAACGCCAACCGGTGAGTATTCAGGTCGTAGTGCAAATCGCGATTTCGTATTTCTCACAAACGTCTGCGGTACATTTTTTACGGTATCAAAAAACCACTCGGGCCCGCTGTAATGGTGGCAATGCGTGGCTAATAAGCTACGGGTTGCGGGTTCGATTACCACCGTTCCAACATGTTCCTATACTCTTTACAATTTTCCTGGAAACATATTGGACTCCATATGGAATTCTAGATGGAAGGATTGCAATTCCGTCCGGGACACGAACAACTCTTCACAGATGAAAAAGCCGTGAAGTGTAATCGTGTTTCGGCACCTTTTATTAATTTTAGCCTATCGTAGATCTTAAGCACAAAGCTTAGTACTCTGAGCTTTGACGAAACGGTTTGACTCTTACGCAGTGCGTATTGTTTTCGAGATATACCATGGCTGGGGACTATACATGATCAACATCCACGGCGTGGTTAAACACTTAGCCAAGCATTGCGGTAATTGCAAAGTCCTGGGTTTGATCCTGAAAATGCTATATGTTTTTTTACAAAAAAGATTTTAAATGTTTATACCGAAATGTTAGCTGTTAGATATATATTGTTTTAAAGAATAATATTATTTGACAACTTTAATATGTTTACATTTTATTGTACTTGATGGCGTGAATAACTAAAAATCGATTTTAGATTTAAAAAAAATACGACACGGGCAGGACTTAGAACCGGCATCCATAGGGTACCGTCCTTTTGGTCGAACCAATTACAATAAAAGCTACTGTGCTACTGTGTCGGACACATTTTAATTTAAGAATATTATTTATTGCTTTAATAAAAACTTCTTATTAATTCAACAGAAATGTTGGTATCACACAATTATATGTCTGCGATATGCCGTTAAAATGTTTCATTTAAATTACCCATACAGTTAAGCAGAATTAAGCATAGTCTTAAGTAAAAAGCGTTTAAAGCAAAATGTGAAGGGTAGTCTCAAACTTTTTCAGTGTTCCAGACTGCACTAATTGCCCCTCATACTAATGAGGTAAATACCTTGAATTATGAATTCTCCGCGCCACAGATTATAACAAGTACATAAATAATTGTATAAAACGACTGGCTCTGTCAGCGACTTCGCCCGCGAAGCATAGATATTTTGAGCGTCGATATTTGCTTTTTGCACACCTCTTAATGTTTATGAAATATTTCCGTTTTTCCACATTTCCCGCTGTTTCTTCGCTCGTGTTAGTCACAATGCAATGTTTTATAGCGGTAAATGATCTAATCAACGCAAAAATATTTTTTCAATTCGCACCAGTGGTTCCTGAGATTAGCGCGCTCAAACAAAGAAACTCTTCAGCTTTATATATAAGTATATTGTATATTCACAATATCTTATTGTATGATGGCATTATATAAAATCAAAAGCTATTTAAATAAAAAAAAATTGACGCAAATGGGTGAATTCGACGATGACGTTATAGGACGGTAGCTCAATTGGTTAGAGTAGCACGTTGTGGACGCCGGTTCGAGTCCCTCTCATGTCCAATATTTTCTATCAATATAGATTTTACTTTTTGCAAAACATCATTTTTTATAATGGAAAGCAGTATTATTTTTATACGTATAGTTATTTGATATTAAACCTCTATCCCGTTCGTAAGGCCGGGAGTTCGATACCTAGTGAATACAATTGTTTATCTTGGTAAACATGCTGATATGTAATCTTTTGTAATAAAACCAGGGGACCCTGGTATGTTCTAGAGCTAAACTTTGATGTAATTAGAACATAATATTTGAGTCCCAACTGTAGGAACAATTAAAGGGTTGATGTTGGTCTTAGTAAGCTTCTTATAATATTTTACGGTTTTTAATAAACTTAGCTGTTGCCGGTTTAATTTAATAATAAAAATTGTCTGGGGTTTTCGCGAATAGTACACGAATGAATCACTTTTAACAGTTTTAAACGGAAATTATATTAGTTAAGTTGTTTTTTAGTAGTTCACATAGTAAAGTAAGTCACATTTTGGTAGTTTCGTGCGTAACACAGTTATCTAACATTATTGATTCATCAAACGACATGTTATGCTTTCTCTTTTCAATCGTATCGGCTAAATAAGGACCGAAAATTCGGCATTAAAAACGGTTCTGATCGTTTAATATTTAAAGAGTAAGTTCTAGAGACCCACAATTCCGATTGATTTTACACATTTCTTTTACTGATGGTGTGAATTAACTACTGTCTGTAGTTTACGCGAGTAGTACACATTTAAATAAAACACTTTAACGGTTTAAAACGCGATATGTTTTAGTTAAACTTGTTTAAGCACAACCCGACGTTGTCTCCCCTTGACCCGAAACGTCGGGCCGTAGTAAAAAATAATTCTCAAACAAGTTTAACTAAAATATATCGCGTTTTAAACCGTTAAAGTGTTTTATTTAAATGGTGGTGTGAATGGATAATGAGCGCCCACGTCGTGAAATAGTGACGTGGGGGGAGTGGTAAATCGTATAGCCGACCAGAACTGCTAAACACACTACCAGCCCTCTACGGTGCTTCGAGGGAGCCCTGGGATATTGATTCTACACTAGTAAGCCAAGAAGTTCAATACTTTGGCTCCTAGCCAGAAAACTTCACGTTTGATTCGAGTTTTTATTTGTCCTTGTAAGAAATGCTTTCATTGTTTTGTTCCACTTGTACAACACAAATCAGGGCCATAAAAAGGCATCCTCCTTTATTTAAACCTAGCTGTGCCCGCGACTTGGTCCGCGTGGAATAGTGACTTGGGGTAGAATTTAAGGCAGCAAATCTATGTTGTAGGTGCTACTTTGCCGCAACATTCTCACCTCACATCACTCCTACTCTAACTCCCACTCTCACTCTCATTCCCGCTCCTGTTTCCAAAAAGCCAAAAAAGAAGGTTTCATTGTTCTAGCTTCAAAAACCACGAATTTCCATACAAACTTTTATCCCCTTTTTCAAGCCCTATCAGCCCTTTTTTGGCATTAAAAAGTATCCTATGTCCCTTCTCAAGAACAACTATGGGGTTTATATAACATCTCCACAAAATGCGTTATCAACCTATTTTGGCTTTTATTCATAAATCCACAGACTTAACCTCCCTTTACACAGTCGGTTAAAAAGAGGTCAAACCATTAATTAGAAACGGTGATGTAATAAACCACGCCCACTAATTAAGCGAAAATGTGTAAGAAAATACTCATTCGAAATATTCTCCGTTTGAAAAGCACTCATTAATGAAGGTCGAAGTTTTCTTTGAAATGCAAGTATCTCTTCAAATTCTCAAGTTGAAAGAGAAATTCTATACGAACTACACATCTTTTTAGAACGTGTTTCGCTTTATTTTATTAAACGAAGATAGGATGTGATGACATCTTTTTATAATGTCATTTCACTTGAAGATCGTGTTTAGGCAACTTTGGACATAGCGCAAACAACATTTAAATTTTTATTTTATTGCAAAACCATTGTTATAAATAAATACATATTTCGATGATGAAGCCTCCGCTGGTGCAAAGGATCCGACATGTGCCGTAGTATATATTAATTAAAAATAAGTTTACTAATGATTGATGAATTGTTTTTTAAGTCCACACAGTTCCTAGATCTGGGACCTGGTTTCTTAAAGATGTATACTGGATCTTTATGTAAGTACAGTCTGTAGTTTACGCGCAGTATATAATAAAACACTCTTAACGTAAAATGTTAAACGTTTGTAAATAAGTTTAACTAATACATTTCGCGTTTTAAACCCTTAAATACGTTTCATTTAAATGTGTACTACTCGCGTAAACTACAGACTATACTTGTGTATGACTTGAATAGCTAAACCTAATATTACGTTTTTTTTAAACGCAACTCGTATGAAATGTAGGAAAATTTTGCTACAAACGATCTGCGAGTACGTGAAGAAATACCTCTTAATCATACCAGATAATGATTGTGTCGGTATGGTAATTCATCCGCACTACTTCGCCTAATGGATGGCTTCCGTCTGACAGCTATCACTTAAGGCTACGCAAATCAATACAAGGATATGTCTCGTTTTTTCTTCGTCCCGTGCGGCACACATTTGCGCCTGGGACTGTCCTACAAAGCGCTTCTCAGGGCACAGAAGTCTTGTAAGGATGGAAAGCGGCATTGTGCGTACGGCACTTTTTGTGTCCGCATTTCATATATAAGGCTGCTAAAGGCAGGCCTAATAACAAAAAACATGATCAATAAAGAGAAAAATAAAAATGCGCAATCGACTTAGGCGAAAATTTCGTACTATTTGTGTAAAAATGTTAACAATTTTCGGTCACTGTCCTCTCGTAGTATAATATTTAGACTATAAAGATATAAATAAGTCTAATCATAAAATTGCAGTTAGGCTACTCTGTGTTTGTTTTTCTTTTTTTTACAAAGAACGAAACGAACGAAAGAAAGAGTAGTACAGATTTAAATAAAACACTTTAAAACGCGATATATTAGTTAAACTTATTTGAAAACGATTTTTAGCTTCGGCCCGACGTTTCGGATGCTTTGGATTTCCGAATATCCAGAGCCATAAATAGGTCGACAACATATCTTGCTGAGAATGTTATAAGGCTATGGTATTTACCATCATGTGAAGCCTATATTTGTCTGTCCTCCATCATAAAAAATATATTTTTTTAAGAATCGCCCCCCACGTCCTACTGTATTACAGTTTTATTTCATAGATTTAACATTGAGGTAACCTTGAAAGCCAGTGAAGGTCGGCGAGCCCTTTGGCTTTTAATTATTACTTGTGGTTTTAAATGTTAACTGCGCATTACATAACTATCTGATAACCATCTAGACATTTTTCACTTACGTTTTTGTGGTTAAGTGGGGCATGGGGCAGATACCGTACCGATTTATGTACCCGTTTCGCAGAACTTTAACATCAGTTGGACTTGTGTGTCCTGTGTTAATATTCATACTAATATTATAAAGCTGAAGAGTGTATTTGTTTGTTTGTTTGTACGCGCTAATCTCAGGAAGTACTGGCTCGCATTTAAAAATTATTTTCGTGTTGGTTGGACCATTCATCGAGGTAGTCATATCGGCTTAAAAGATAACATATACTATCGCGGACATTTTTGTAAATAGTTCCGAGAAGAATCATTCTTTCATATTTTTTTTTGGTGTCTAGAACCATTTTCGCAGCACGCATCGAAATAAATAATTATCCCCGTTTTTTCCACAATTTCCACTGTATCTTAAGTCCTATTGATGGTAGTGTAATGTATATACAGCCTTAAACTTTTCTCGATCAATGCTCTAACCAACGCAAAACTATTTTTCATAATGATCTAGTGGTTCCTGAGATTAGCGCGTTCAAACAAACTTTCAACTTTATAATATTAGTATAGAATTCTCTTTATTACAAACGAGAAAGCTTGTAAGCTTCGTCGTGGTTTTCAAATTCAATTTTTCAATCGCTAGCAAGAAAAAGCGACTTAAAATTGTAAACAACACTAGGAAGTCACCAACGAACAAACAATGCTCCCTTAAAAAATAGGGTAATTCGCGTCTTTCCCCGAGTTCCATTAGCCGCGCCCCAGTTCCTCTAATTACTAAGTGGGACGTGTCCTTAGCTCCCGTGACGTCACGATGATCTTGAATCTCTTTCGAGTGCTTTGTGAAGATGCGCTTTTGTTTAGTCAAGCGCCGCTGACTTTTGTATGCGGATTCTCAGCTTTCAATTTTGCTCATTTCACAATTCTGTGAGCTTGAAATCTTTTGTTAAATACAACACTTTAACGGTTTAAGACGCGATATATATATCAGTTTAACCTATTTGAGAATTATTTTAACTACGGCCCGACATTTCGGATGCTTTGCAGCAGTCGTGGTCACGGAGAGACTAAAGATGGAGTGTGGCTCCGAGTAAAGAACTGCTACGCTAGCGCCACCTGTTCCGTCGAAATTGGTATCTAGCGAATGGCGAATAAAGTTGTTTTTCAATCACCATCATAAGCTGTCTTATGGTGGGGATTGAAAAATAACTTAACTTATATTTCAGTAACATTTGAAGCTAGTTTAGCGTTTCGGAGAATGAAATATATCTCGCAATCAAGGAACGAACTACTAATATCTCTCCAAAAGAACTCGCTTGCAGACGAGAATTAAAATTCTCGTCTACAAGCTGAAATGCACCATTTAATTACGATTCATTAATATAGTAGATATATACACAGTATGATGCGCAAAACAGAGAGTCACAATACAATTTGCAAAGTCACTTGGCGTTTTGCCACGAAGCTCATATCGAGTTGTCTTAGCTGTTAATAATTGACGATAAATGAAACCACTTGTCACTTTTAGGCGCCAACTTTACGACACACTTTTATGATACTGTATTGTCATGATGTGCTTATATCTGTACTCTCTCCCTTTACTCATTGCCAAATGCGATTGACATTTTGTCGTATTGTACAAACAAACATATCTTACCGATTTGTGAGTTTTCCCCACATACATACGTAGCAGAAATTAACTTTAACATTTTTCGTAATTTTTAACAAAATCGCATTAAAAAATATGTTCATCCAAACGCGGGATAACCATGCCATGTGTAGTTACTAATCAACTTTGTAACACGCTATCACACACAACTACGGAAATCTGGATGTTAAATGTTACTATGTGTTACTATCAAAATTCCGACCGTGTCACGAACCACCACGTCCACAGATGGAAAGCCGTGAAGTTTAATTGCGTTTCAGTCTGAGATTTCCGAATGTCCGAAGTCAAAATAGGTTGACATCTTGTTTAGATGTTATAGGGTTGGTGCATTTTACTTAACATCAAGTGGACGCCAAGCTTGTCTGCCCTCCTCTATCATAGAAATAATATGCAGCAGCTAAAGAAAAATTCTCTTTTGATAGGTTATACAGGTGGAAAGTTAATAGTGTCGAAAGCGTACTTATATAACTTAATAAGTTCGAATGAGTTCGTGTAAAATTGATGCAATTCCCAAAGCAACGAAACTCCTTGTAAATAAAAGGCAATTTCTTATGTTTGCGTGCCTCGAGCTATTTGTTCGCGGTAATCGCTTTTAAATGAATATGGGTTATCGTATGTTTTATTAGTTAATAATAGTATCGTTTTTCTAGACGTTTCTAATGCCTTACTTAAGCAGCTCTTCATATCGTCTCTTTCGTGCTAATTGTAAAATAACACATGCATGGCAACACAGTGCGTGGCCACTTATACGACTTATAATCATTTACTTCCTGTATTTGACCCGGTGATAAATAATAATAAAACTCTTTATTGTACCAACATATTTACACCACAGAATATAGACATTTAAAGAAATATGTACAAATAAAATTGTTCTTGCAATGGCGGCCTTATCAGAAAGGAAAACATCGTACGATAAACGTACTCATTCTTAGACATTATAAAAACCAATACTAAAGTCTAATAGTTTTATATTGGATAAAACGTATTTTATCCAATATATAGAAGCTTACTTCTCGTCTTGTTAACCCACATCAATAAATTCTTCGTCAATTACACTCGCTAATCGCATCGCATTCCGTGCTCAAATCAATTAATTATATTTAGCAATCAAATTCTAGTTCATTGCAGTTCAAAGACCATGTCATTCATCTCGCAAACCGTTGCTGGGCTGAGTCATCCCAGGCGCGAGGAAGAGCCCCGACAGCATTGTTCACACCAACACGCCCATAGAAACATCCTCTCCAGAAAGAATAGCTTACCCGAATGGGATCCCCCCGAAACTAGAGATAGAAAGAACAGCCTCCCAGCTGACGCCATAGATACAAAGGCGGTACACAGCCCTATTTTAGAAGAGTGACAGGAAAGTCCGTAAGTGCCCTTGGTGTCCCCAGTCACTCTAGTTGGCATGGATGCACTAAGTGTGAGGAGAAAGGCTTTTTGGCAGCCCTTGCATGCTTAGAGGCTTATGTGATAGGACACGCACGAACCTATAGATGTGTTGTAATCAATGTTAATATAAGTGTGTTTGATGTGATTGAAAGAGAAAGTTCGATAAAGGAAGCCGAGGAAGATGTTAGTAAAGTGCCTTTATTGTTTATTCAAAAGAGCAAAGTGGATTACCAGTAAATTGCTTATTTCTCAATGTTATCCAATTAATTTGAACCGAATTGGGTGTTGCAGACAGGAAATTAGATTATTACGCTTCAAAGTGTTAAAAGAGGCCGTAATTCAATATGTGTGGAAGTTGGCTAGACATAATGACCTATAGAATTTGCGTCATGTAAGCGAACCTTGAATATCAATGTCTTAGAAGATTTCGTACTGTGCGAAATAAACACCAGCAAATAACATGCAGTAGAACAAAAAATTAATCTTATTGTGACAGGAAGTGACTTAAAACTGATAATTAGTGGTTTTAATGAAATGTACAAAATTGATTTAATAAGTGAAGAAGCATTTATTATTTCAAAGACGACTGAATATTTGAACTTTGATGGCGATTTCAATTTAATGGAAACAAAAATTTAGAAGATATACCTTAATGTACTGTGTTCTGTGATAGCTCATGGGTTCGAAAAAGAATTCGAAAGTGGTCATTTATAAAACAGAAGAGGAAAGAGAAGACAACGCCTGAAAGAATAAAATGTCAAAAGAAGATTGTTAAAAATACAATACGTGATATACACTGATAGAAGATCTTTTTTACAGACTAGATCTTAAAAATCTTCCAACGACTCTTTCGTTCGTCGACTTAATTAAAACATGAATTGTGTGACGTCAATAAACATAGATGGTAGAGCTCTTGCAAACTTAGTCATTATTGGATTAACCTAGCAAGGTCAAAGTAAATTTCCCCTCGCCTGTTGACTATTGAGGCATGCGAGCTTTTTGCTGGCTAGACGTGGAAAATAACGTTAGGCTAGTCTGGGGTCAAAGACTTTGCATAATTAATTTGTTGTTTGAGGTATTTAAAAGGCGAAGGTTTTACGCCGTCGAACATTTCTACGTGAAAAACGCAGAGATATTGTTTTCGAAACTTAGATGAAAACAATTGAAAAATGGAACTAAACAATGCCTTCACTACAAGTAAATACCTCTTCAACCTATATTTCAGCTTGTATATTGTGGAACATAAAAGCGCAAATATTTTACAGTTCACTGCTTTTTCATCAGTGATAAGAATCTAAGGTTTTCAATACATATCGAAATAGTATTTAAACTAGCAACTAACAGAAGACCAGATGAGAATCGAACGGCATATCAAAGGAAAAATCACGCATGTAAATATACAGTGATAGTGAAGAAGATTCATCGTGAAGTTGAAAAATATAAATAGAAATAGAAATGAAAATTATACAAAAATATTATCTTTAGAAAAGCTTGCGCGTTGTTTCGATGAGCTCACGTTTGTTGAATGAACGATTTTAATCTTGTCATAATTATCGATAGATAAATTAAACTAATCGCTTCTTAAAAATCGATCTTTGAAAAAGCATTCCACCCTGATCTTTGATAAAAATATACCACATAAGACATTCATGGCAGTAGCCAGTACTGTAAAATGATATTTAAAATAGCCACGTTTTGGCATCGTCCGCTAATTAAATATTTATTTACATACCAAGGGTCTACATATTATGATATGTATATGACATGTCTTATAATATATTATTCCTTATTTATCTATTTGTAGTACCGTTCATATCATAAGATTGTTTAACGTCTGAAATCGGTTTTTAATTTAATTTGAAAATTAATACATCACGTTACTACGCAATTGTATGCTATCAAATTGAGTTGTGTTAAAATCCTATCGTAAAGGACGGTCAAACAAACGGAAACTACGATTATAATGCACATACTAATAAGTCCAAGTAATGTATTTAAAAAGCTCTCTCTTAGGCAAGCTTTCTCTATGAAAGAAGGTTCTAATGAAGATTGAATAGCTTAAAAGCTTCAAAAACGACCCACATATACCTAAGTGGGACGCGAAACAACCTTGTCATAACGTCTCCAACTTTGACGAGTCATCGTCATTACTTTTTAACGCTTTGTCAGTATTATAACGGACGACGACACTCACTATGACATTTGTTACTTGTTCGTCATTTGTCTAACTGTATATGACTACGGGAAACGGTAAGAAGAGAACTTCATATTTTCAGATAGAATTATGACAGATAAACCATTAAATGTCAGTAATACAGAATATCAAAGAACAGGTACAATAATTAAATGTACGGCAATTGATAGAACATAAATACAGAGGCTGCTAGAGACAAAGTGACCTAGTAACAAAAAACATGATTTTCAGTAAGTAAAATAATACGCAATTAAGTAACTTAGGTGAAAAATAATGTATATTCATAAATATCGTCTATAGTTTACGCGAGTAGCACACATTTAAATAACCCCTCCCTCCCCGTGACCACGGCTGCTGCAAAGCATCCGAAACGTCGGGCCGAAGTTAAAAATCATTTTCAAATAAGTTTCACTAATATATCGCGTTAAACCGTTAAAGTGTTTCATTTAAATGTATATTATATTTGTGTAAGAATTTTGTTAACAATTTTCGGTCACTGTGACTATGAAAATATAAACTACTCAAGTCATAAGATGCAGTTAGGCTACTCTGCATCTAGCCGCCTCATATATAGGTGCATAAATACAATAATAACGCTCTTCTAGTTAACAAATTATTCTTTAGTCGTCAATATTATTAATTATCAATCATCTTCCTCTATTCAGGATCTACAAATTTTAATCTTCTCTTTGGTGCAAACTTATATCCTATCTGTTCTCTAAGAGGCTTTATTTTTGTTATAGGAGGAGCGAGTTCCTAGGATGTGTCTCGTTCCCGCTAAAAGATGTTATTAAGAGTGACATTTCTGGTACGTACTTCCTGCAGCAGACCTCAGGGCGTGGCCAGGCGAACGACGCATGTCGGGTGAATGAGGACCGCAAGATGGCAACTGACAACACGGAAACTAGTACCAATGATGGCGCTAAAGAGAACACAGAAAAAGGTACTTAAATTCACTGTTACCAACATTGAGAAATAATGTTTCTAGAACCAGTTTGACAAAACGAATTTCACGAAAATATCAATAACGATTTTTTACGATTAATACGATGTTTGCTTCTCCAGTAAAATCTATGTCGGTCTAAATAGAAAAAAGGCTAATTTAGACTTTCATTATAGAGCTGAGGAGTTTGTTTGTTTGAACGCGCTAATATCAAGAACTACTAAATTTATAAAATATTTTAGTGTTGGTTGGAGCATTTATCGAGGAAGGATTCATATGAAACATTTGTCTGCATGCATTCTGACATGCTCCAACCTAATAATAAGTCAAGGCTTTTATATATTATTCTTAGTATAACAAAAATCATTCTCATTCAATTAAAATTTAACAGTCGTCGCTAACGGTCCATCAAGTCAGGCGCAAGTCGCGGCCGCGTTACAACGGGAGGCGGATGAGCATCTCTTTCTCCGATACTTGGAGCTGGACCCCCCGGAAGATCCGGCAGCCCCGAGACGACCACAAAGGAATGGCAGAACACCCTTTACGACTACCAGAAAGTGAGTCATTAACTTTCAAACTTCAACTATAAGATTTTAATAATATACATTGCGTGAGAGGTGCATGTATCAATAAGTTGAAGAAATTCAACGACGAGGCGAAAAAAAAATTCAATCTATTTTTATAATTATTGATTTTTAATCAATATTCATATCGATTTCAGACATGACCTTTAGAGTTTTAGTAATAATAATAATATTTATATATATGTACATATATTATTTCCTCTTGGGAAGGGAGTCAAATACAACTGTGATACGGAGCACAGTCATACGTTACAGTTGTTGAAACCGTATTTAAAATTTCCGAACTCCTTTGCGTATATTTAAGATAACTGTTTTTTGTAGTGGGCCATAAGCGAGAGAGTGAATATTATTAAATTAAAGATTTTCTTTTGTAATAACGTACCTAAGATTTAAAACAGTCGATGACATAGGCTGGACTTAAACCAACAAAATCTAGTGCTCTTCTTCTCCGGTCTAATCTATCTATCTAAATCAAATCCAAATTTTTGTCTTCATTTTCGGTATTAACTTCAGGTATATCGTTGGCACTGGTCAGTTCCAACTTTAAGAATTCCATACTAGAATTCGATTCTTATAATATCAATTCTAATAAAACCATATCAAGCTTCTGCCACTTGCAATCTTTAAGGTAATGTTGTTCTCTGTATAATGCTTATATTGTTCTTTAGGTTGGTCCGTGGTTCTGGCGGGGGTTTCGGCTTCACGGTGGTATGGACGAGGCCTCCGAGAATCGAGAGAGTTGCAGCAGGAGGGTCTGCGGAGAGAGCTGGTCTCAGAGCTGGCGACTACATTGTCTTCGTCGGGAATAAGAACGTTGTGACAGCGTCCGAGGAGGAGGTCCGAAACTTGGTCAAGTAAGTAACACGTTTTGTCTACATACTATATTAATTTAATAATGGATTAATATAACAATTAATCATAAGTATACATATTTCAAATCTATGATTGAAAATGTAATCTGTGGTTTTTTTTGTGTAGTTCAATACGCGAGTAATACACATTTAACTAAAATACTTTAACGGTTTCGAACGCGATATATATTAGTTAAACTTATTTAAAAATTATTTAAGCTACGGCCCGACGTTTCTCGCTTTGCAGCAGCCGTGGTAAGCTCCGAAAGTTTTACTAATATATATAGCGTTGATGTAATGTTATGTAAAGATTTACATCTTACAATTGTAAAATTGATTTTTCTTCTGCTATATAAGAGAATATGTTGTCCACAGATCGGCAGGTCAAACGCTCAACATAGAAACATTTAGGCGGGTGGCTCAGAACGGCGCAGGAGTGAGGCCTCGCTTGGCTCAAGTGACGATACCGTCCGTGGCAGAGTCCACTCCACCTCCGCCCAGGTCGCCCCGTGCCGCCCTAACTTCTCCAGCAGCCGCCCGACCGCCCACAGCCTGTTCTTCTACTAGCCAATCGCTTGACAGGCGCAAACTTCACTTGCCCCAAGTCACATTCTCCAAGGAGGTCGGTAATGGCATCATTGTTTAGGTAGCTTTAGGCAAGATAGATAGGGTGTATCCTCTGAAACAGATACTAACGGAAAAAGAACAGTTGGAAACATCTTTGTCGTTTGACCGTGTAGTTCTTTATTGAGTGTTCGACTTTTCACTTCCGTTATGTTTTAGAGGATATTTAACAATCCCATCTCTTTCTCTTGTCTATTGTCTTGGGACTTGGTGATTCAGAACTGTCGTGAACTTGCAGGAAAATAAATTAAAGTATTAACCTACGTGGATCAAAGAACAAGATAAAAAGCACAAAGCACGACAGTTCGTCATCAAGTTCTCATCAAACTAGTCACGTTTTGGTTGTATTTTGGTAATGGTATTAAAATTTAGAAAATGGTGCTAGAATTTAGACCTATTTCACTCAAAATTTGCCGACTTCATTGTGTACAAGTGAAGGTAGGGAATGGTGGAAGGAGGTATTTGGATATGGAAGTAAAGAATATGAATATGATACTCGTGGAGTTGCAAAACGAATACAAAAATAATACACAACAAAAGCGTGTTACATGTTAACTAGAACTCAAGATATTGATATAAAGTACTGTCTTAGTTACTGCGTACTTGCGTACTTTAGTTCACGCAATACATTTAAATAAAACGCTTTAAAATGTGAAAAATATTAATTAACTTATTTGTTATTTATTTTACTACGGCCCGACGTTTCGGCTGATGCGGTAGTAGTTGAAGTTAATTGTAAATAAGTTAACTAATACATTTTGCGTTTGAAGCCGTTAAATCTAATAAGTCTAATATTCTTAATGCATCTCACTCCATCTAAACGAAATCCCACATTCTTCATCCATACCTTCTCATAACTTATAATTACTTAGATATAGTTGCCAAGACATTCCATTAATTTAATGTTTGCTTCTTAGTTTTTCGTTGTACAGTTATTTATTTAGATTTTAGTTAATTTAATAAATTCTGCGCACGACCATGTGCATTAGTAATTTATTGAAAGGGGAACCGTTACGTTTAAGAATTTGTTTTTCTTTGTTGAAATATATTTTGTTATTATTTCTTTTTAAGGTCACGTGTGTTTTACTATAGTTTTAGCTTTTTGTATTTTGTTTATTTCGTACGACGATTTTATTTGTACCAAGTATGATTATTAGGGAAGCCGTTTTGTTCCTGTTAATTTTATTTCGTTTTTTTTCTTCTAATTTATGTTTCCTATCAGTAAGTGCAAATAAATTTATTGCTTTTATGTGATTTCTGTTTTATTTTTATTTTCCTTGTGTTTTTACCTTATTTTAATTTCTACTTATGCCTGATTTTTTAGGAATTTTTAGCCTTTGAAAATGTTAAAATATATATCAGAAACAACTCCAAAAATTTAGTTTTAACATATTTATTAAATTTCTGGGGAGCAATGATGGAACAAATACTAAATATATTCTAACCAATGACAAATTTTATATTTCATACAAACCCTTTTTACAAAATATTAAACAAAAGGGGATAAGGGAATTAAATCTTGCCACAACAAAAATATTTTTATAAAATATCTGGCATCGTTGTTTGGAAAAACAGTAACTGTCTTCTTTTGTTTATAAATGTTTATATTTTCAATGTATACCGACTATGATCTATTGTTTCTAATACTAGCATGAACTAAATGTGAAAATGGGATAACGAGAGAGCATATGTTGTTTTAAGTTAGTAAGTGCAGAATATAACACTTAAACTACAATAAATTCAAAACCAGTAAAGACTTAACACTTAGAAATTTTTAAAGCTAGGTGATATTTATAAAGGTCACAATATTTAAATACGAAAACACAGGGGTGGATATTTTAAAATCATCTGAATTCGGTGGGAACCACGACCGCTTTTACTCGAAACAATTAGTATTTTTTTTCATATATCACCATTTCCTTTTAATAAGGTACCGATGCATGTAAACACATTTAACTTTAGGTATTATTGTTTTCTCATTGAGTAGATATAAAGAGAAAAAAAATATTTAAATCAAATAGTTATACACGTGTGCGATATAGAACAAATGTTTAAAGTACACATTGCAGCCACCAGGTCTGTCCATCGACGGCAGAAAAAAGTCCCTATTAGCTGTGATAGCGAGAGAACAGCATTATGCAACATGTCTACAATTTGGCTTGGTCCGGTTTGTGACTCCTCTGGCCGAAAGAGCTGACCTGATCGCACCTAGCGATCATCAACTCCTTTTCCAAAATATTGAAGAGGTGAGGAGGTTGACAACCTCTGTATATATAGAAATAGTTTTCGATACAACCAGAAACTTATCCATTTCGAATTAGGAATAAAATTCTTCCAGTTTTATAACTCTGTATTTTAAAATCTATTCTAACATTATAAAATTGAAGAGAACACTTCTTTAAACACGCTCATCTCAGGACTTCGCTTCATAAAAAAGTATTTTTGTGTTGTATAGCCCATTTATTTGTGATTAAATCCCGTTTCCCCTTGTGGGGAATAGGGCGAACACATTTTCGTGGCCGTTTCACTGATCGGTTTTATGTACAGGCAAGTAGGTGATCAGACTTCTGTGCCACGCCCGACTGATTTATGTTTCCCCGGGATTCGAACCCAGGACCTCTCGCGCTTAACGCAATGCTAAGCAACACGTTTAACCATTTATTTAGGAAAGCTGAAAACATCAGGCTGCGACTAGTCTGACTGCAATAAGAGCGCAGTAACAGTGGAAGACGTGGCAAAAAACGGGAATATTCACCTTTTAGGGTTTCTGTAGCGGGCGCGGCGAAAATGGTTCAAGATAACTAAAAACAATGCATTAATTGTAATTGTGATTGATTGAATAAACAGTTCGTTTTTGACTCAACACCAAGGCGTATCTTTTATAAAGAATTAATCTTTAATACATTTTTAAAAATATATCCTAGATCTTTCGGTTGTCCGAAGAAATCCTGGACCAAGTGGTGCAAGATGACGGAGAAATCCAAACATCGACAGTTGTCGCTGTGTATTTACAAAAAACGCCTGTGTTCCTTAGCCTCTATAAGAAGTATTGTTTGGGATTAAAAAGAGCTGATTGTGTGCTGGTGAGTAGAGAACTATACACACGATATTTCATCCAAACCAACATTCATCTTCTAACACACATACATATACACACATACACCAACATTTAATTCATGCTTAATTTATTTAATGGAAGTGCGCAAATCTCTACCACAGGTATTATTATAAAAGGGTTTCTATATCAAAACTAGATTGATATAATAATTTGTTACCTGAATAAAGACTTTTTGTTTATTTTTCACAATACGTACCACACACGCTTGAAGTGAAATAAAGTGTATATATTAATATAAGTGTGTATGTATTAGTAGTAACCAAGTTGACAATTTTATTGTGGCGACAGAAAACACGCAGAACACTAAAATCCGTCCGGGTCACGGACCACCGTCCCCAGTTGGAACTCCTTAAAGTATAATCGCGTTTCGGTTTCAGGTTGCGGATTTCGAATATCCAAAGCCAAAATAGGGCGACAGCATACCTCGTTGTGATGTTATATAGTTGGAGTGTGTCACCTTCCTTCCGGAGAAGCCCATGCTTTTCTGTCCTCCTCTAACACATTCATTTACTTTCAGCATATCAACCATTATCGTAGAAATAACACCAAACTACATACTTGCACAGTTTCATTGTGAAAATTAGACTCAATTAACTAATAAGAATAGATGTTGGTATATATAACTATATATGTATCTTTTGGTATAGGTGAAGAAATCAAAAGATCCAAGCGGTGCGTTTTCCCGTTTCTGCACGAGTCCACCAATCCCAAGGAGAAGGCCAGACATTACCTCGCTAGTCCACAAACCGTTGGAGCAATTTCGGGAACTACTAAGGCTGATGAGAGCCGCAACCATTGCCAACGGCTCCGGACCTTACGACCAGCTCGAGAAGAAACAGCTTCAAGTTATTGTTGAACAATTGCAGGTAACGTGAATGTTGTCATACTTTGAAAATCGAAAAAAAACACTGGATCCATAAACGTTATTCGTGATATAACCGAATGTTTTAGCTAATGATAAATTCGATAACTTTATTTCTAGTTATGTTTATTTAGTAGTTAACAAATAAAAATACTGATTATTTTTACGAGTTGACTTCCTAATGTATACTATATTATTTTATAAGGTTTACTTGTTCGTTTATTTGAACGAGCTTATCTTAGGAAATACCGTCTGAATTAATAAAATATTTTTCGGTTAGTTAGACCAGTTATTGATGAAGGCTTTAGATTATATAATCTTTTCATTTTTTCCAAATTCCAGTTTTTTCGTTATTGCTATATAGCAATAACGAAAAAACTGGAAAAATTATTCATCTTTGAGATGAAGAACGTAAAAAAAATTCGCAGCGGTATCCCTCAATCTTTTGAGATAATTTTACAAGGACGACGGAACGCGGACAAACTCTTCGGTCACGGCTATTATTTATAAAGATGAGAAGCAGTTTTGCGCGTACAGCTTCTTAAACTTCAGCTTCAATAAAACTTCTTCTTTTTTGACATTTCTAATATTTTTCCATCCCTTTTTAGACTGGATACCAGGATGTGACAGCTGGCTCAGGACTAATGGGCTTAGCTGGTGATGGAAAACCTTTGTTGTCAGTAGCTGATCTCGAGAGTAGACTCGTGTTCACTAGATGTAAGGTATGAAATCAAAAGATGAAATATTCTTAAATTGAGATTTGTGTAATAAATAAGAACCAATACAAAAATATATATTGATTGATTGATTGATTAGTCGCAATTAGACCAACGAGTATATTAGTAGTACGAACATAGTTATAAATGTATGGCTTCACTTACCGTATTTTTTCAGCCTTTCGTACTAAGCACACCAGGAAGACAGTGGATCTTTGGTGGCGAGCTGTCCAGAGTGGAAGGGAGAACTATAAGACCTTATTGGGCCTTGCTCTTTAGCGATCTTCTTTTGTTTGCAACTGTCTCGAGGGACAGGGTTTTGTTTGTCACGGAGGAACCTGTGGCGTTGGCTACTGTTTCTGAAGCTCAGTTTAATGTTAGGAAAAAAGGTACGTTTTTATGATAAATAGACATACCTACACATACACACGCTTCGTACGAATAGAGGTATAAAACCAAATAAAAAGAACAGACGGAATATTTTAGTAAATAGACGCTTACTTATTATATTTGAAGCTTACTAAATAGTTAAAATTGTTTTAGCAACTGAATTCCGTCTCATCCTCGGTCGTGCTGGAGGAGAAAGTCCACTAGTGTCTTGTGCCCCAAAAACCCCGAGTAGATCACGGCCTATTGTGCTTCGCGCACCCTCGATCGATTTGAAAGCTGTATGGCAGAGCTTGTTACAAAGGCAAATGTGAGTGACAATAATTTACATAACAAAAATTTGGTTAACCTCAAATTTGGAACTGTACCCATAATAATCAGTTTTATACTAACTAACTAAGGACTAATCGAGATATATCGTTGTAGATACCGCGCTCATACGATGTCTGGTACTCCACTGGGCTCACCTCTCGACTCTCCAGATCCTCAACTGACCTTCAGCCTCGCAACACTGGACTCCCAGCAACGACAGGTATCAGCGTCAAGTATACAAAGGCATTCTAGCCTCGCTCTCCTTCCCGCAAGCTCTTATCGGTCTCATCTTAACATGCTCGTGGAAGAACGACCTGAAAAAGAAGTTAGAGTTAGCTTTGACGTTAGACCAAGTTCGGATTCACCCCAACCGCAACCCGTTCGAGGACCGCTCAGTACACTTTGGAAAACAGCTCCAACCCCAGAGACTCCATCAGCTAACCTTTCCCCTGCTGATTCCCAAACTTTTTCTTCACATTTTGTATCATCCTCAAGTATTGAGAGAAACGAGGACGCTCCTTCTCCCAGTGCCCTTCTCACGCCAGATGGCGCTGAAGATTATTCAGAGCAGTCTGTCTGTAGATGGGAATCCTTTGAAGCCGATTTGGCTCTCGCTGACTTAGATGTCGATCCTTCTTACAAGCATGACGTTGAGGAGCGTATATTTCTGCCAGACGATCCGCTGCTACCGCGAGTCGCTTTACCGGAACGACCAACGCCGCCGGCGTATCTAGAACTTTGATCCGCGGAGTCTGTTCCGGAGTTAGATTGTTTTCCCCGGACCCACGGTAACAAATGATAGCTTAAAACTATGTGTCAAATTTAAGACCTCAGATGTAGTAGTGTTCTGCGTCTATTGTTATGGACTTCCGAGGTGCGCTCGAACAAGTTCGTCGGATTGTTAATATTGCTTATATTAAGGTTGTGGTAATAAATTTTGAGAGACATATTTTCGAATATTACCCGTATTTTCTCAGAAGTGTTTTTTATTGGATTAAGTTTTCTAGTGTAAGATACCGAACGACGAATCAGAGCTACATGTAGAAATTAAGAACTGTTCTCTCAGGTTTTGATGTTGAACTTAGCTTTTATCTGCTATTTTACAATTTACAGTATTAGAACTCAGTGTCAAAGGTGTAACTATAGGGTACCAAATCGTAGATAATATTTATACGATTCTTAATAGTTTTGTAACATCGCTTCTTGAGTCTTCCGTCCTTTTCTTATGGCGTTCCACATATTCATTAATAATCCATCCCGGCAGCGTCCTTTCAACCTTTTGCAACATTTAGCGCTTTGTACAGATTCGTTGGAAGATGTAATTTTGTAGTATCTTCATTAAACAAGTAAACTGACAGCTTATTTACTGGAACAAAGCAAACATTACTACTTACTATTTCTTGATAGATAGCCTACGTGATACGAGGTATATAGTTCTTGTTATTCAATATATGATGTAGTTAACCCCCAGCGCAAAGGCCCTAGTTGAATGTCTGTATTATTTAAGTGGTCGATAAGCTTTTCAGTTTATTTGTGGGTGACGTAGACCCGAGCCCCACGAATTGTACAGGTCATGTGGATATTTGGCGATTAGCTTTGCGATATCCGTTATTATCACTTCAGTTTATTTGTTTTTCATCACCATCGTATTAAACGCGTTACAAAGAAAAATGGTAGTTGTTCTCTCGATAACCGCTTTTTGACAATTCATAAACTAGCGTCCATAAACGTATATAATCGCTACTATCGTAAAATGTTCACATTACCTTCTCCTCGGGACTTTTGTATGACCTAAATTTTGTACATTTGTATCTAGTAACAGTAATTTTGACTTGGCTGTGTGTAAATTTAATAAGTCTTAGTATTTGTGGTAAATTTTATAATTTTGAGAAAGCGTTTTACTTGTTTCGGGTTTTTGTGGACTAATATTACAATTGGATGTTTGTGTTTAGATTGGATCAGAGTATTTTAAAATAAATAAAGTGAAATTGTCAGTGATGATACTTATTTTATTTCGTGTCCCTCAGTTGACAGCTACCATTTTTCTCTGTAACGCACCATTTAATAAGTACAAAAGTAATTAGTCTTTAGGTAGTTATCCCATCACCGATCTCGGCTGCTGACCAACTATTTTAAAATTTTGTCACTATCTATAAATATTTGGTGATAGGGACACAATTTAAAACAATATAGTGTAGTTAATAATAAATAAATAATTAATTATTACGGTAAGTACAAATCCGTAAAAGATTATTATCAAATAATGTAAACTATTCTCTTAAGCAAAAACAAATACGTCATACCAGGTTCGCAGAAGCTCAGCGGAAACTCAAACAGGAGCTGGAGGCAGTGCCATCGAAGGCGGTCGGATTTCTAGAAGTAGAGGTTCTACTCTTCATTTACAGAGGTGGATGACACAGCTGCCAGAAGCAGAAGAACTAGACCCGCCAGAACCAGACATGGAGGTGGGTTTTCGCCAGTTTTTTACTATATATTTGATACTTCACAACTAACAAATCACTACTTTTTATTAATTAATTAATGATGTCGGATTTTAACTGAGTATTAAAAATTTCCAGATGTGGAGTATTGAAGAACTAAGAAAGAGATCTAAGGAATTAAACTTATTAGAAGTGGCAGATTTGGTAATAAACCATGAAAACAAGGCAAATAAAGAAACCGCTCCCGCCGAAAAGAAAGAAAATGAGCATAGTCCTTCCAAAAGCAGTAATTCTGGAAGTCAGGTACCTACAGTGTTTTTATTTATTATTCATCTTGTCAAATACACCAATATTGTGCAGATTATACAGCATTTCCACACCTTATTATTTTTAGTTTTATGTCTCAATATTCTTATATGCGATCTTGTAATAGATATACATGTCAGTGTAGAAGAAAACAAGTAATAAATCTATGAGAAACCTCAAAAATGAAGGTATAGGGTGATATTAAACCATTGAATTGAGATTTATACATTACTAGAGATTTGAGGTTATATTTACACAAATTATTAAATTATTACAAATGATGAAAGATCATACTGAATCTTCACTAGACAATAGATCAAAATCCTATCAATTTATATTTTACATTTCAGATAACAGTAAGAACTAGCCCCGTAGTTGTAGACACGATACCGGTGTGTAGACAGTGCCACAAGAAGTGTTTATCTAAGCCAAATAGTCCTCTACTTTCCCAAACAGAAACGTTACCTCCGAAACCAAAACCGGAAGCGTCACCCCAAAAGTCTATTTCTCATAAGAGTTCGAGTCCGTGCAGCGCCAGTTGTGAAAAGCGGAAACAGACTCAATTTCAATGTCATTTAGAACGTAAGGGTGCTATAAGGTTACGTGCTGAAGATGGGCCCAAAGCAGCAATGCAAGCAATCGATTCGATTGAACAGAGTCAGAAGATGCTAAAGTCAAAGTCCTATGATCTCAAAACAGACTCGCCAAGCTTAACGCGAAGCATATCAGATGGAAACAACAAGAACAAGTTAGAGTTGAGAAAAGACCATTCGATACGATCGTTAAGTCCGACTTCGAGTAGCAGAAACAGTCCCCTGTCAACTAGCCATACGACTTGTAGCTCTATGGTCTTTAACTCCAGTTCGAACGATCTAAGAATCTCAAGTTCAAATATGAATAATCCTGTGCAGTGCGTCATAGCTCAAGAGAAGTATATAAACGAAGTTAAGTGTGTCGAGAGTATTACTCTACCAAAAAGCAGGTCCTCAGTACATTCGTCGCCAGCATCCCTTAAAAAAGACGAAATCACGAGACAAAAGGCTGAAACTGTGCTTAATAAAGTGTTAGGAATTAATATAGTAACTAGACGGGAAAACATTGGTACTCGGTTACGAACTTCGTCCGTATTCTTAGACGATGATTCGACGTTCGATGATGACAGTGACTTTAAGATAGAAAGAGGCTTGAAGCGATCGCCTCGGATGGGCATAGCCGCTATTAGTAAAATGAATGGTGATATTACGAAGAAAACGGAAGAGACTGAGGATGTAAATGCTAACGTCAATGACGTGTTATCAGACGAGGACACAGAGCTGGGCCCGCTCATGCTAATGGGTCTGTCAGCCATCAATCCAGCCGCCCACTTGATGAGAGTGGAGCCCTTCAAGCATGCGTCAATAATGAATTTAAGTAATGCAAATTCGAGGCCCAGTAGCATCGGGTCTGTTAAATCAGAATCGCCAATACCTAATATAGCCGTTGTACCGCCTACACCCGATTATAATACTACTAATAAGACTGTACGTTTCTATATTGTAACTGAAGATATTACACTTTAATGAAAAACAAGTCTTTATACATTTTCCCGTTTTCCAGGATGAGCTTGTAGATGATTCCCCCGATTCTCCTGACGTTCCAGATGACCTCCCTTATATATCGTTGAAGAGGTATATATTTATTCGAATCACTTGTCAACTGTCTACCGCTTAATGAAAACTAATTCCCTATATTTTAGATACGGTACAATGTCAAGTTTAGAGCGACTACCATCAGATGAGACTGACGATGGTAATGTGAGACTGACCGAACCAGAAACTTCGAAGGCATATAACACAGGTATGTATGGTTTCCCACTGTCTCATACGAATATATCATCTAAGCAGTTGGAGTTATGTATGAGCTTAGAAGACAAATGTTATTGTATGTTTATATTGTGTTCTTATTATTGTAACTCATTAGTGGTGGTCATCTGTTAGGTTTTCCTCTGATTTCAGTAACAAGCTCAACTGGGGGCATAATGGGTTGGACTGCACGCGCCGGCTCATTTGTAGTTGAAAAAATGAGCATCTTTAGTCACACGGAAAACGTACCTAACACGTCTATAGCGCACAAGCAGCCATCGTTCTTAGAACGGTAAAGTTATAATAATTTTCACTTACTAAACTCAAAATAACTAATTTATTTATGTCAATGTTCTTCCATTCGATAGGTTGATTTGGAGGCGACAGGGAAAGGTACGATGAGTACGTGATTGCTAATGTGGTTTTACAGTTTTTATAGAGGATCCTAAATTGATTCGATAGCCGCGTGTAGTCGTTGATATAAAACTACTTCTACCCATTGCAACACGATATATTATTAGTTAATTACTTTAACTACAACTGTACGTACGAGTTTTAGTTTTTTTATAAACAGAAGGGGGATGATGTCTTCAAGTGTCACTAATAAGCACTTGTTGGATCGACCGCAATGAATCGAATCGATCCATTCTCGACCATTATGCACTAGATTCTTTAAACTTCCAATGTGTACCTAATATATAATATAATTGAATCTATTTTCTCTCGATCTATTTCTATAAGTATAATACAATCACATAACACACTCAGTTATATTAAATTACCATAATCAAATATCAAATTTTGTTTTATATTTTATTACTATGGTTCACAAAATAATTTGGTGCATTGGCCCTATTGTATCATTGAGAAAGAAGTCGATGTTTGGAGTTCTGTCCCGAATTTCTGACCTCTTACTCTAATTGAACGAATGAATAATTTTGAACGCATTGAATGTTCATTGTTATGAAAAAAAAGTTAATTCGTACCTTATTTGAAGTCTGACGACCTAGTTCTTTTGATTTGATACAGAAAGTCACGCAATCGTAGTTCAAAATAATCAACCAATAATATATAGCGCTCAGATCCGGTAAAGTGGTTTTATTTATAGAATTATACTGTAGTAAATACATTTAGTCGCTAGAAGAGAGAGTGATATTAGATTTTTAAAAAAAACTTATACTATATATATTATATTATCTAAAATTTTCAAATTTATTAGATGTTTTTTCTAGTCCTTAGAACTTTTAAAATTTTACATATTACTTAGCTCATATTTGGAAAAAATATTTACTATTTACAATATTAGAAAGCTAATATTTTATTATACTAACATATTTTATTGTTAATAAGCTAGAAATTAGATGATTTGACGATATTATATCGTGGACGTATTAGCTCTTTTGTATTTACCGTGTCTTGTGGTTTTAGCTTAGCATATCAAAAAATGAGTCTAAATAGATCCTTTCTCTCATATGTTTCGGTTAACAGGTGTTTAGGTGTTAGCGATTGGAAGTCTACTCTAGGAACAGAAGACGGTACTATAGAAACAGGAGAAGGTAGTGGTGCTAGTGGCGAAGAAGCTTGGGGTACACCATCGTCTGGAGATCTGTCCGATAATTTACCAGATTCTGATCATGGAACTCTTTCGGTACCTTAATTTATAATCATAATTATTTTGGTTATATCGACGATATATATTTTAAGTGAAGGAAATCAAATTCACGTGTTTGTTGTACACATAACTAATTTGTACACTACTACCACTTAATAGTAAAATTAACTCTAACCAAAGAAGTAAATTCTTAAAAATATTTGCTTGTTAAGTTGAATACACAAATAATTCCAGTCACCAACAAAGTCTTCGTCATCATATGGAGGTGATGACGATACTGAATTGATGATGGACGAACTTCTGATGGCGCCAACAATAACGGGACCGACAACATTAAGACCCTTGCTACCCAGGTATTTTTGAAAAAAAAAATCTGTATTATTTCGGAGTATATTTTTTATTTTATGAGTAAAGTACCAATTAATATTTTCCATGATTGATACATATCGATACTTATACAATGTGTTACTGATAAATTTTATTATAACAGGGATGTATTCAGACGTCGCCTTGAACCACTGTTAGAAGAAGAGTGTTCCGACAGCGGCAGTGAAGACAACAAGCCCACGCCAACTAACTCTGACGACCAGGTGAATATCATAGGTTGTAGAAAAGTAATCCTTATTACATAAGCATAGATTATAAAATTAGTTAAGACTTTATGTACTGTTGAGAATGAAAGTAATTGTTATGAGTTAGTTGCTGTAACTTTGAGAAATCGATTGAGTGCGAATGTTCCCTAACCTGAATTAATGTTCAAAGAGAACATCCATGTGCAGCATGCGAATGGAAGAAACGAGAGCCTGTTGCATGATCTGAGAATAACATATTTGTATTATTTTAGGTTCTTCTTGGGGAGCATTAGTAAAATTAAGTTATATTTACATGTTGATTATTATTAATACCTTGGGGTTATTGGCAAATGTGGATAGACAGTAGATAGGTTATAACTCACATTGTGACTGGTCCGCTGGTGCGGCACTTGACGCAGGGCAGCGAGTTTGGCACCGATGCTGACGTCTGCTCCGACGCGCCGCACCTACCGCCCTCTGCTTCCGAGCCGGGTGAGTCATGTAGAGTTGGTACCTTGTAGCATGACTTGCATGTTTGTCTTATTTGTTCCCAATGCATGGTCGTTTTGATTCCGAATCGAGCTTTCATTTAATTAACATATGGGATATAGTGGTGGTGGAATACACAGTGCGTGATGATAATGTAACGAGTGATGTTACAGTGGCAGGGGACGGTGTGCGCGACGCGGAGCTCACGCGGGCTGGCGTGGGGCGTGGCGCCGCGTGCGACCTGAGTCCGGACCGGACTCCTACCAACGAAGTGCCTTCGATACCCTTACAATCTGGTAAGGAGAATATCACAAGATTATGCATATATATTTGTAATCTGGAAAAATATATATTTTGGTTTTAATAGCAAATCAAACGTCTGACCTAAATAGGTTGTATTCATTTTAATCTTTTTAGTCCCACAGCTCTGCTAAAGAGCTTTGATCCAACGTAATGCTCCAAAAAGGACCGATAACTTAGCTTACTCTTCGAAGCAAAAGAAGATAATATAGGTTGGGGTAAGGTGGTGGTGGTAAGGTGATAACTACCAATTCTATATTTTGAGCGAGTACATGAAATTTTGTGATCTACCTTTGAGTGACCAAGAACGCGGTTCGTTTATGCGTTGCCAATATTATCATTTAAGCTTCAAAAGACTTTGTGGAGCGAGCGTTTGTTGGCGGCGTTCTACGGGACTCACTCAGTTCACCCAGTACCCCCTCCACACTCGAACGTACTGCAATCCACAACCCCACACCACTGCATCAGCTGTCACCAGGTAATTATTAAATATTACGATTAGGGTCAGTAATCAACCTACTACATATGAAAACATTAATTAATAAATCTACTAATATAGCTTCGGAGGTGGTCCAATCACTAGCAGTGGGACCGCAAGTAGAAGAGACACGGCCAACTACTCCGGAGCGGCTCACACCTCAAGCGGAGATGCGACTGGCGTTAGACCAGGGGAGGGACATGCTGGCAGAGCAAGAGAAATCCTTGGTATTCGAATAATTTATGTTCTTAATTTATTGACATACTACACATGCGTTATTAGGTTTGAAACACTCGCTGTGTATGTGTGTGTCTAGTACCAAGACATTTCTCAATTAACACTGTACATACTTGTACTTGTACTTGTGCTACATAAGATGTTACGCAAATAGTCCACTTAGCAGCAATTACAAGAAACATAATATTTCAACCTATTAATGATCTGGGTACAAATCACTGCTTCAGTATGGCTTAGTGTCTGCCGCTAAACTAGTGGTAATAACTAATCTACCGACTAATTAGTGCTAATAAATACTTTGGTCAAAATACATCAACCGTGAATTTGGAAGGTGTGCAATACATCTGGATGTATAAGTTTGATGCGATTGTCTATTTCATCAATTGTCCTGGTACAGGGTGGCGGGTCCGACCGTTGGTCGTTTCGCGCAGCATGTCAGAGGTCGTTAGTGCGACGGGTGGCCAGCGCAGACGCAGTGACGCTGTGCCGCGCGCCACCACGCCGCACCGGCCCGCATACTACTTCGCACAGTTCTGTATATGCCTGGAAAGGTACAAATTCATTTTGCACAAGATCCGTAGGGAAATTAGAAGAGGTAGTGGTTGGGTGAGGGCCCAGGGCGTTGAGGCTTAGATCTTTAGATCGTTCCGAAGATCTAGGATCTTCAAACTAAACATATGCAAATAATTTTCCACTGGATCCAAGATCTATTTATAGTTCTTCAAAAGCATGTTAGGCATGTTTGGAGTATCTTACATTAAATGAATGATGGAAATTGTATTTGCGTCCGAGTCACCTGCCAATGTCCACGCATAAAAAGTTGTAAAGTATAAATTCGCATTTCGGCTTATGTCGATGGGCAACATATCGACGCCATCTGATCTTATAGAATTTTTATATGGCAAGTGTTAAAATTATAATAAAATTTTAAAAAATCCTTCTAATTTAACTGATCTTTATAATTCCAGCTCCAGAAAACGAAACGAAACTTACGGAGATGGAGCTACTGGCACGAGCGGAAGTTCAGACGATGCGTTCGCGGACGCGATCGCAATGCCAGAACGGGAAGATGTAAGTAATTAGCAATTACAAACTGCGCAAACATTTTTAGAGATCTTATATATATATATTAATTAATTGCAATTATAAAGATCCACCAGAATTCAAAAAGGACCACCAGGATTCACCAAAATACGAAAAGAAAGTTTTAATTTATTTAAAGATTAATACTACTTTACTGAGTCTTAGTTTTGTATAATTGATTTAGTTTATAGTTTAATAGTTATTGATTACACCCCGGGTGCGAGATGGACAAGAAGATTGTTCTCTAACATTTCACTCTTTGTCTGGGTCTCAATTAAAGAGGTAAATGTTTAAAAATCCAGCTTAATGAAAAAGTTTATTACAACTCCTAATATGGAGGTTTCTCATTTATACAAGTGTCACCACGTGTCACAACCAGATTTCACGGTTTTTTTTTCAATGTAGTTTATAAATCTTCATCATGCAGATTGGGATTTCTCCGCCGACGCGCCTCCTCCGATAGCCCCCGCCGCGAGCCGTTCATCATCAACTCGAGGCCGTTCTCACCACGAAGAACCACTGTGAGCAACAACGGATATTACAAGATATGCTTTGTCAATGGCCACATCTAAGCACCTTCCCATGCCAGCTGGATTTAAACTTTCATTTGCTCTCAAGACTTGGTCTGTAGTCTGTACACGGATCGGAGCATTTCGAACGCTTAGGTTAATCACAAAATTCTAAAATGTATCTGAATATACTGAGATCCGAAGAGAACTACAAAAACGATTCATGTGCTGAAAAAGACTGATTTTTAACACATTAAGTAAGAACAACCATTTCCCGCTATTTCTGCTCCGCTCCGCAATTTTGAAAGGACTTAACTCTTAATAGAGGAGGGCAGACGAGAATAAGGGTCACTTGATGATAGATGAAATACCGCAGCCATATTAAATCTACTCAAGATACGCTGTCTATCCTATTTTGGCTTTAGATATTTGGAAATCCACAGATTGAAACCGAAACGCAATTAAGCGTCACGACCATACATATTAGTCATACATTACTTCCATTACACCATTAAGCCCGACAGAATTAATTGTAATAATCAGACATTTGAAAAAAATTGAGTTAAGACCTTGACTTCGTCAGGACTTCGGTGGTATACGCAAACTTTATTTACTCTTTAGATAATAATAGTAGTTTAACTTAACGAATGGGAAGGACAATTGAATAAGAATACAATAATTAGGATAAGACAATCGGCCATACATTAATCTAATTGTTACACTGTTATGTGCGAGAATCGTACTTCGTTATTGTTAATTTTCTTTCGAAAACTTTCGCTAAAATTGTTGCTATTGAAAAAAATTGTTGTGCAAATTGTCATTTTTGACACATAGTCAATTGTTCTTTGCTTATTGTCAATATAGCCTTGCATTGGTGTCGTCTTGCTCAGGTATTTATGAACTTTAGTTTTACTAAAGTTATTAAAAAATGTATTGGACTATATTAAAGTATGTAACAATAAAATACTTGCAAAATTTTCGTTTTTATAATTCTTCATTTTCCGCCAAGCAATGAACGTGGCGACACCGTGATTTAGGCCTAGTTTAAATCCAGCTAATTAAGAGCCTAAATTAAACCGTCTCGTTTAAATCTGTCCATTTATTGGAACTGATGTTCACGAAATACATTTTTAATCAAAATCGTTTGCTTTTTATTTGGCCCGCTTGCTGCTACCCTACCTTTTTCTATCACTTCTTCGCTATTAAAATGCATTTGAATGTCGCATTACAAACAATATAGCACAAGTTTTCACAACTAGCAACACTTAAGCGCACTTGACAGATGAAATTTTTAAGAATACTTCAAGTGTAATTGTAATTCTTACAGGAAAAACAATTCGAGAAAAGGTTTTGGAAACAAGTGACAAGAAGACGACAGTCTTGCGGTTCCATCAGCCAAATATAGACGTTGCAACCAAACACAAGTGTTCACAGATAATAATTCGTATAGAATGAGACGTAGATATCGCCAGAGCGTTAGACGTTAGTCGGTGGCAACATAGATTACGCACGATATAAGGGACGCCAAAATTGTTGCCAGATTTGAGCCAAAAATGGACGTACGGGACCTTGATGTTATTCTTCATATCGTAGGTAGAAAATGGTTTAGGTATAGATAGGTGTCACAAATTGTATGCCTAGTGATTGAACGGTCTAATTCTGACTATTTGTATATAGAACTGTAGATACTAGGCTTAATCTTTGTAAAATAGTTGTTTTACGCATACGCTGTTGACTATTGAGGTATGTCTTTTTAGGATTCATCTTTTAGATTTCCTTTCAATTTAATACATACGTTTACGAATTTTAGTGTAATGACGAGCTAATCTTTGGTGGCGACAGTTTTAGAACGATATACCTACTTGATGAATGTTATTTGATGTGGTTTTTCCACGCTGTTCATATTATTAACTACGGCTTTTTCAAAAATGAGCGCGTCCCTAAGTTATTACAACAATTTTATCTGACAATGAGATTTTAATGAGAAATGGGATTTTTTATATTCTCATTAATTTAATACACATTTTTTAGGGGAGCCTCGTATAATGACTTAGTCCTTAATAAGACCCAGGTGTTAAAAATCATTCTATTTAAAGAACTCTCGCATGATGTACTTAGATAGAAAGTGACGAATTTATTGGAAATCGGTAAACTTTTTAAATGTCTCATTTGTGTCTCATATTTGAAAATGGAAAATAAATCTCTCGATTCTAGTTCTTTTGATTATTACCTACTTCTTCTTCTCGTTGCCTATAACAAAACTTAAATTAAACTCTCCGGGGTTAGAAGAACGCACAAATAAAAATAAGATTATTTTATTAAATGTAAACATTACAAGTAAATGTAAATATATTTGCATTAAGTAATTAATAGAATTTAGCACCGCGCTGCATTCAAATTTCATAAAATTTACATTACTTAAAGTAAAATGCTATGGCTGATGCTTATATATTTATATAATTATAAAATCTAGGTTCATAGTAATTTTAATTAGGTACTTATTATGTTAGTGCGTATTTCAATATTAGTATTCCCTTTACGATTCCAAACCACATAGCAATGGAGGCAAAATCATCATTTTCATATGCTTATTATTATGTAATCTGCATAACTCATAATATTTTTGTTCTGGTTATCAAAGAAATGATCATATTAATTTTAAAATTATACAGGCTTGCGATATATTGACGTTTCAATGCTGTCACATTCAATACCCGCGCATTTTGCCTCTATCGCTAGGTAACAAACCTTTTTACAATTTTTAACAACCATGCAAGCACTGGCAGGTTAGAGAGATTTCATGATACAGAATAAAAAGGCGCCAATTAAAAAAAACAGGCGTGAGAAGTATCACAAGAATTTTGGGTACATATATATCTTACGTATGTAATGGTAACAGAAAAGTATTGTTTGAAATTACAGATAGCAGTACATCGTCGTGTTAAATTGGCACAATTAAGATTTTAAAAGTGAAATTCTTATCCTAAAGTAAAAGGGCGGATTTACAATTTCTGCAATAGCAACACCTAAGTATAGGGCAGTGATAGATTATCACTATGAATTGTACTATAAGTTGGACATAACTTGGACAATCCTAATAAATGTAATGTTGGAATGAAAAGGTCCTGTATATGCGAGTATTGTTTTGCCTTCAGGTGTATCGGGGGTTCTATTCTCGCCATTCTCTAGTCGCTTGGAACGTCCTTACTTCCGACGACGTGAATGTCGTTAGTCCTTGTGGTCCTGGAAAGAAAAATATTTTAGTCGTACGCTTTGTCTATAGGTAAACTTTATTATTTAAACTGTGCGTTAATTTTCAAACGCTGCAATACAGTAGTGACATTACGAACTTATATCGACATGCATTTATACCAAACATCTATGTTCTAAAAATGATAGAAATTATAAAATGAGTTACAAATTTATTTATTAATGCAAAGAATGTACTTTCAGCACAAGAAAGAACGCCGGTTTATAGCTTATAAAGTCGTCATAAACCCGCCCAATCAGGAGCGTTCTGTGTGCCGTGACAAATGTTAAAAACACGGTATTTTTTACTTATTTAAGTCGATTATTATTTTTAACACATGTGATTGTTTTACTATTTATAAACCTATCCTTAATACTGATAACAGTAATTGACGCTATATTTTTCGCAGTCAAATAGCCGATTATGCAATTAGACGAAAGTTGTTTTAAATTGAATCGCTAGATGACGTTGATGTTGAGGAACTTAACACTTGTATATGTTTCACGGTTTATTCCAATCAAAATCTTTATAAATTCTATATATGGAGAGTTCCAAAACTTTTTGGTCGGGCTGACGTTAGCGCGACCGCCAATTTGCGCATGGTCAATTTGAAGCAAAAAGTCAGGTCCTCCCGCATCCGCTTTGTCGCGACTGATACGCTTCGTTCTGCGCAACCATCCGCGCTAACTTCAGCCCGGTCAAAAATTTTGCAGAGCACTGTATAAGATTTATATCTTACCTCTGACCCTTCGACCTGGTGTTGGCGTGACGTCACCTTCTGGGACAGTCCACTGCTCTGTCACTTCAGTGGCCGACCGCGCTAGGGACGGTTGGCTCACGGAACGGTGAAGCGAATTGCGCCAAGACCTCAAATAATATAATACATAAATATCTTCTTTGACGAGCTCGTGTTGGTGTAATGGTAGTATAATCTACGGCTAGGTCGTGGGTTCGTTCCCCACCGGGTCTAAAATTTTCCCAATCAATCAATAATTTTTCTAAACTTGTTGGAAATCTGGATATTAAATCGGTGGTAGAAATATCGAAATTCCGTTCGAGTGACGAACCACCGCCCACAGATGAAACGGCCAAATAGGACGATAGCGCATCTTGTTTAGATGCTATAGGCTGGGTCACCTACCATCGAGTGAATCCCGTGCTTGTCTGTCCTCCTCTATAATTAAAAAAACTAGTCTAGGGATGTATTTTTATACTTTTAAAACTACAAAGTTTACAAAAACACGCGAATTCAAAAAGAATACGCGAAAAGTAAAATTTGTCTTGAACATCAATCTCTGTACACTGTCACATTCAGATAATTTCAGAACTTACGGGTGCTGATGATAACCAGGGTGTTCTGAATCGCTGTCATCATCGTAGTACCGTCCCAGGAGTGTCCCGGACACCTCCGAATGTGTGTCCGCTTGCTCTCTCGCGTAGTCTACCATCATCTCTGACATTGATCTAGCCAAATGATTTTTACCATTAAAATTCCATGGAGTTGCCTTAAGATTAGTAGTATTATGATGTTTTAAGTACCATTAAACGTGCTTTACTAAAAAACTATTTTAGTTAAGTTTCATGAGGCTAATAATCAAGATATTGTGGATTCGATCTCCTCCAGGTCTAACATGTTTATGTAGTGAAAGCCCGTTTCCCCCTCGTGGGGTATGGGGGCGAACACATTTCTGTGTCCGTTTCATTGATCATTGGCAAGTAGTTGATCAGACTTCTGTGCCCTGCGTGACCGAAATATTTTTTTTTGTTTCCCTGTGATTCGAACTCAGCCAGGAACTCTCACTCTCAACGCAACGCGAGGCAATACGTTTAGCCATTTGGCTAAAGAGCCGGTGAGTGATTGGTCATAGGTCTAACATGTTGAATGGGTCATAGGAATATCTAAAAATCTGTCCACAGGTGAAAGAGTCATCAATTTTATCTCGTTTCGGCTTCAGTCTGTGTATTTCCAAATCCATAGCGAAAATAGGTCGACGGCGCATCATAGTCAGATGTTATTCGGGATATTTTACCTTCCGTCAATGTACCTCATGCTTGTCTGTCCTCTTCTATCGCAAAATTAAGAGTATAGAAGTCTTAAGCTTAATTTTGTTCTTAAAACCACAGATAACTTATAATTCTGACTTCATGTCTGTCAATATACATTGATAAAAGCTGTCTATAAAGGCCATGTATCGTGCCACACTCACCTCATATCAACGTGATCACTGCGGTACGAAGATCTGCGGGAACGCGGTTCCCTTAGAGATGTGGCATCACTGTCGTATTCGTAGAGGGTTGGTAGTGAACTGCGACGCGACCTCGAGTCCCATTCGGACTTTTTGCGGTAACGGTTCTATAAAAAAATAATTTGAATAAAACACTTTAACGGTTTAAAACGCGATATATTAGTCAAACTTATTTGAACATGATTTTTAAATTCAGCCCGACGTTTCGGATGCTTTCCAGCAGCCGTGGTCACGGGGAGGCCCCCGTCTCCCCGTGACTGTTTAATTTAATTTAAATAAACATTTAGTTCATCCAAAATGTTGGGGATTTAGTGAAAAAAAATTAAGAATAAGTTTTACTAATATATTTCACGTTTTAAACCGTTAAAGTGTATTTATTGGGTTTACTTTCTTGAGACCTTGAAGAGACACATGCTCGGGTTAGGGGTGTGCGGAAGAGGGGATCTCGCGTTCTGCGCTGGCGCAGGTGGATCGCGACGTAATGGATTAATGAATAAATAATAATGTTGTGACTGAACGTGTCGTCAGAGTTTGCATGTTGAATTTATTGTTAGATAAAGTTAATAACGTCCCAAATATTTTGTTTTACTGTTTTAAAAAAAATCTTAGTTTTCTTTTATATTATTTATATTAGATACTACATAGTTTATAATATATATAGTATCTAATATAAATAAAGTATATTAGGTAGAATTAGAACTTCTGGGCACATAATTTTCACCTTGGGTGGCCTCTCCGGTGGAGCCAAAATGCGTATGATGACCTCCCATTTGGGGGGAGCATATAGAGGCGCAAATCGATGATCATGCGCTAGACGAGTGAAGTCCTCCCGAGTAGAGGACCGTGCCAACTCCCGTCGTAGGGTACTCTCGTGAGTGATCAGCTCACGCCAACGAAGACGTTCTTCACGGGTGAGACGGTAGCTACGCTCAGTCTCTGATAGTACCTGTTGAAAATTGTAAGATATTTAGGGATTATCAATATTACATTAAGATGATTTATTTATTATATTAGTTATACCATTTGCGAGTTAAAAAAGATTTGTAAACACTTTTAACGGCTTAAATGCAAAATATGTTATGTATTTACCTCGTCTTGAGCATCAGTCTTCAATACCCTGGTAAGTACACTCCAGTTTGGGGGAACTGGAGGCGCCGGTGTAGGTTCCGGCACATCGTCGTCGTCCTCTTCTCGGAAGAGTGGATTGCGAGCTGGTGGCAGCTCAGGCAACAGTGGAAGGTCTGGAGACTGCGGCTGCTGGTAACTGGTGGCCGTTTGCTTGATCAGCTCGGGTGAGAAGAGAGCTGGTCCGCCCTTACCTGTCGATTAATAGATAGTAATTAATTTTAAATGAAATTGAATTAATCTGATGTATTATGAAATTATGTGAATCTAAGTATGTACAGAAGATAAAATATCTAGTTTTCTAAGGATACCGTTAGATATAGCCTAAATTTAACAATAAAAATGCACTAATAGTAATATTAGAACAATTAATTCGTAATACTAGTTTTCAAAGAGAAATATTCTTTATTAAACCTAGTCTTCAATATTTTGTCACAACGCCGAAAAAATCTTATTAAGTAGTAATAAAACAAACTAAAAGTTTTAATAACTATATCGTTGTTATACTTAAATAAAACACTTTAACGGTTTAACACGCGATATATTAGTTAAACGTGAGCCGTCTCCCCATGACCACGGCTGCTGCAAAGCACCCGAAACGTCGGGCCGAAGTTAAAAATCATTTTCAATAAGTTTAACTAATATATCGCGTTTTGAAGCGTTAAAGTGTTTTATTTAAATGTGTACTACTCGCGTAAACTATAGATAGTATTTATCTTGATATTATCATTTATTTCTTTATGTTGAATGTGCTATTATTATAAAACTACAGAATTAAAACATTGTTTCATAGTTGGGCACTTTGATTAGCAAACTTTACTGGGGAGAACTATTTCGCAAATCTTGTAAACTCTTCGTTTTCAATAACTCACCAATAAACTTCTGTGGCGGCAAGGACATTGGCACTCTTTCCATCTTCGGTGTCAGCGTCATACCAGACGCTGAACTGATATCGGAGAAGTTCTCCCATTGCGCTTCAGGAAGCGTGTGGTTCCTGATGGTCACGTCGAACTGTGGTGGCGGCGGCGGCACTTGCTTGTACTCTGTGACCAATCGCTTGTGGCGCTCTATGTCTTCTATCGTCTTCTTTTCGGTTATCGTGCGAAGGAACACGTCGTCAACCACGTGAGATGTAATCTCTGGTTTTCTGGAAATACATGGAAGGTGATTTTAATATTGGTGTATATTTTATATTAGTCAATAATGAAATGCCAACAGGAGTGTATTTTTAATTTATAAATGACAAGCGACCCACCCCGGATTCGCTCGGGTGCAGTGCTGATACTAAATAGACTAAAGAAAAACTGTGAACGTTATATATATATAAACCTTCCTCGCAAACGAATTTGATTTATTCTATATGGTGGTATGACATTTAAATTATTTGGTTTATATAATTTAAAAGGTATTATAATAAATGTTCGTGGGTATACTGGAATAAAGGCATTTATAATAAAGACATTACCTCGCAGGCATAATGGGTGTTTCTGGCATTGGCTCCAAGCTTTCCATTAACATCTCCTGTTCCTCTGTCTCCAGACGCTCCCTCATTATGGGAGGTGGTGGAGGTGGTTTCTAAAGCATGAATCAAGATTTCTATAAAGTTTAAGATGATAACACAATGGTTTTAAAATACATTTAATCCCACTTCTGAATACAAAAATTGTATGGTATGGTATGGCTTTGTGTTGTCCACTCCACTTTGTTTTAAAATTTAGCTTGGACTAAATATTGGTTTACTATTATTATTAGTATGAATGCCTGGTATGATTCAATCTTAGCATTGAAATATGTAAATTCTAAATGTGATCATATCAAAGACACTGTAGAAAGTAGAATCAGAATTTTGTTAATCACATACCTTAATATGGAACATTCTAGCATGGGAACCATCAGTGACTTCTGTGACAGAATGTGTGTCTGTCATTTCTGTGTTGAGCGAGACTATGGATCGCGGACGGCGAGCCCAATCCTGGTTAGTGACAGATATGAGAAATGAAATGAAATATTAACACAAAGTGTTAAAGATCAAATCGATTGTGCCATGGGTGAATATTTATGTGCGTTACATGCATAATTTCTAAAGTTGATGATATTTCTATAATCTAGTTAGGAAGAAATTTTATTAGATTCATTAATCATAGAAGTTCAAGAGAAGTTACAGATGTTTTTTACTTTTATTCAACACAGGAAAAATTTAAAAGATCGTGCAACCTACATTGCTTACTTATATATGTTCAACGGGCTCCTTGGTAGCAATGTAAGATTAATAAACGGTTCCTAGGTTCCCTATCAGGCCCATCATGTTTCTAATGATTTTATATCTTTTTTGTCAAACGTGTCGAACTTTGTGCGGAAGTCTGTTTATTAAATGGGTGGTATCAAAAACCACCATCCACAGATAAAAAATCCATGACATTTAATCGCGTTTCGTTTTAAGTTTGAAGATTTCCAAATATCCAAAACAAAAACAAATCGACAGCATCTTGTTGAGATGTTATATGGCTGTGATATGATATTTCGCCTTCCATGAAGTGAATGCCATAACTATTAGGCACCTTTTTTATAGTGACGCCACAATGATGTCGTCATGGTGACAAAAGATACTGACAAAATTTTATTCTTTATAATAATCTTCAACTCATCATAGCTTTTTCTAGTTCTATTACCTGTCTATCCCTGTTCACCTCTGTGTATAGAACAGGAGGTCGTGGAGGTCGCTCTGGTGGTTGCGCGTGCGCCGCTCGTGCTGGCAACGGTAACGCCCCTGGAGACACAGTACGAACAGACTCTTGTCGTTCGTGCTCTTCCAGTAGAGTTTGTCTATGCGGAAACAAATTTCTCATTATATACGTTAATATATAACATACATACGTTGTCAATACATTATTTTAAAACTTATACTTTTAATACCAATTGTGCCGAATCATCGTCAGTTTATAGTAAAATGAATAATAAGTAAAAAAAATAGTTTTAAATGTGAACTACTCACGAAAACTACAGACTTAGTCATTTATGCAAAATAACAGTGTCATATACCTCATGCTGCCTCCATCCACCTCTGTAGTCGTTATGGTGGACTGAGGAGAAGGTGGCGCCGGTGGTCTCTGGACTCTGACCCTAACGTCGAACGCTGGAGGCACTGCTCCTGCGAGTCGGGAGTGAGTGTGAGTCGTCTCCTGAGACTCATTGTACCCTGGTTAAGATGGCATTAATATCATTAATAAGCAGGTTAGAGTATTAGACTGGAATTCAGTCATGAGTTAGAAATCAATGCTGACGATATCGTGGTTTTAATGACTTCACAACGCACTTATAATAAAAAAGTAATTAATTTTATAAGTAATTAAGAGACGTTAAATTTTTAGTTCTTAAAACGTTATAAATGATGATTTCAGTAAGCTTTTGTTGTTACGAATGTTGTTTACAGTTTTATAGATGTTATGAAAAGTAAAATAATAGTAACAATACATAAATAAAACATGAATAAAACATGATATATGGTAGAAACACATTACTTGACTTGTAGTTACTAGGATCTACAAGTCAATCTTAAGATATTGCTCGATCTAGCACAAATGTCGTAAATAACAACAAACATGGTTACTATGGTAACCATTTAAATACCTTCACTTTGATACTCGTCAACTAAGAAAGCTGCGTTCGAGTGGGCGTGGTCAGCTTCGCTTGGTGTCTCTGACGGATAATCTGATGGGATCGTGTCTGATGCTACACTGGCACTCTCGGCTGCCGCTGGATACACGGGATGGGCTCGAGGTATCTTCACCTCTGCAATAAAGAACAACAATATTGTCATTTGCAAAATAAGATTTTGGTTCTAATTAATAAAACCAGGTGGCGCAAGATTGACTAAGTGAATAAGAACTCTTTGTGACAAAAAAGGAAAAGGGAAGTTCAATTTAGTAAGAAAAACATGATAAGGATAGAAAATGTTTATATCTAAAAAAGGCTTTTGAAAGAAGTCAAGGAAGGAGCTAATCAGACGGAGTCAGGACTTCCGGTACTAATGACTTGGCTCTTGGTGTGATTGATTGTAAGACCAAGATCATGGCTCCAATCAAAAACCTTGGCCAATTCACTATTAACTGTCCAAGGTTGTTAATTGGATGTGGTTTGGATTATATACTGTCTGTAGTATACGCGAGTAGTACACATTTAAATTAAACACTTAACGTTTAAACCGTATGCGTATATTAACGCGATATATCAGTTAAACTTATTTACAAATTATTTTAACTATGGCACGGTGTTTCGTCGCGAGGGGGGACTGCAGTCGGAGGATGTCACTAATCTCAAAGGCGAAACTGGCTGCATAGATATTAAAAACACAAGATAAATCTGCATACTAGCAAACGCGTAGACACCGTTAGTCAATTCTGTAAGGACCCGGCCAGTTTCGCCAAATACCAACTTCGACGGAACAGATGGCGCTAGCGTAGCAATTTTTTACTTTGACGTCAGAGACATCCTCCATCTTTAGTCTCCCCGTGACCACGGCTGCTGCAAAGCATCCGAAACGTCGGGCCGAAGTTAAAAATCATTTTCAAATAAGTTTAACTAATATATCGCGTTTTAAACCGTTAAAGTGTTTTATTTAAATGTACACTGTTAATCTGTTCTACCAGCGTGTCAAGTTCTAAACCCTAACAACTGTTTTGAGTACCTTGTATACTCTCTCGGCTGATGATAGAAGCTGAAGAGTCATCAATTAATCTTCTCGGTACCGGCAGAGCTCGCCTTCGCAAGCACAAGTACGAGACTCCGAGTCCCAGCAACAGGAGAGTTAAGAAGAGAATGGCACAGATTATCATCAGGATGTGGGTTCCAGCTAAAGGTGCTTTTGCTGGTAGCGGTCCAGCCGCTTCCGGCCTGAAAAGAAGGTGTTATATACTGTTAACAATGTGTCTAATCTACGAGATGTAGAATTGTGCTAGCACATTTTATCAGTTTTGAAAAACTATATTCCCGAATAACAACGATACGCTTATAGATTATCGAAGTAAGTGTCATTGAAATCAAGGAAGCGTTTTTGGCGAAAATGACTAAGATAGGTAATTTTCGCAAACATTTAAAATATTAATCAGTGTTTGAAAACTTTAATATTTTTCAAATGTTATGGCACATAATGGCATTATATAAATTAACTCAGTAATTCCATCTTCAATGATTGTCTGAAAAACCATAATTTATTGAACTTTAATATGCAAGTTTAAGGTTAAAATTACAAAATTACATTGCGAGATTGTTTTTCATATATTTATTAATATTAGTTTAGCTGCTCGATGTCGCTATTAAATAACTATTTTAAAACTGGTGTGTTTTAACTTACGTCGCAATAAAAGGTTTCGCCACTGGAACGATAGGGGGCGGATATCTACAGACGATAGTTATAACTTCATCGCCATCCATTTCTAGCCCAGGATGGAAACGAACCACTATGTTGTTCGTGAAAACCCGCAATGGATCCTGGAATATATTAAAACCTTTAGCATTCATATATAAAAGATATAGTAGCTGTAAATAGATCAATATTGAATACGTCTTGATATATCCGAAATAGCTTATAAAAATTATGTTAAAAATAAGAGACGAGAATTAACTAAAGCTCTACTACGAGTACTAGCGTGGTTCGCTGTAGACACTAGGTTCGAGTCCCGCCTTTGTTATAAAATATTTCTTTTATTCTTATTATATCTAAGTAGTAATTTTTTTGTATGTCCATGTTTTCAAAAGTGTTCTTTATTTATAAGTACGTTACCTGTTTAGTACCACATCCTTTCAAAGGTAGCTCCAGTTTGTATGAAGTAGCACCTTTACCGGCCACCTGGCAAGCCGAATTTCGATCGAAGTCTGCGTACGCGATCCCATAAAATTTTTCGTTGAATTTTAATTCAATCTGAAAGAAATCGCGATTACATTTTAATATTTTAGTAACAAATGGCAAGTAAGTTTTTTTTTATTATTCCAGTATTGAAAAAGTATGTTAGAAATTAAAATTGTCAAGTCGGGATTCGAACTCGCAACTCGCTTCTGTACCGAAACAAAATAAAATTCAATTATTCATGTATCACAAAGGGTAATTTTAATTTTTTTTTTCAATTTATGTACTGTCGCTTGCTGTCGACTTTTTTGATTATGTATTTACAACGCCGTGACGTAGTTCATTTGAAATTTAAACTGTAACTGTAAATGTTTGAAACTTTTAACGAACGTTAAATTCTGTAATTTAATCTTTAATTCGTTACGTTGAAAAAATACGACGTTGACTTAGGACATAGGGCACGGTAGCTCAATTGGTTAGAGCACAGCCCGGGACGCTGTAGATGCCGGTTCAAATCCTGCCCGTGTATTTTTTCTTTATTGTACATATACTGTTCAAAGTTTTTTACTTAAATTTGAGGCTTCAAATTACCTGCATAGAACCCGCAGCGCAATTCAGCGCCGCTCTCGTTCTGTTGAGAAATATGACTGGACTTAGGTCGTCTAGTTTCGTCACCTGCAATAGATACACTAATAGAACTAGCGTCTATGGTATATACAGACGTTTGGCCAAGCGTCAAAACCTCATGCAAGGTACGAACGACCCTTATATGTGAGGTCGGGAGTTCGATTGTAACTGTGAACCAAAATATTATGTATGTAAATTACGAAATAAGGAAATCACAGGGGAAACTGATATATTATCAAACCAATAAAACAATTGTATACAATAGAGAGCTAAAATTCTTCTGTATTAACCCAAAATAATAGATTATATTTTTTTGCAACTGCCGTAAAAGAATCGTTATTCTTGTAATGTAGAAGTTAATTAAAGTTATAAAAGTTTTACGTAACTTGAGTTGTTTCTAAAAATACTGAACACAACTCTAAAATGTAGAGCTAAATAAAACCTTAATAGGAATAACAACAAAACATTGTCTGTAGTTTGTGCAAGTAGTACACATGTAAATAAAACACTTTAACAGGTTTAAAACGCGAAACATTAATAAACTTATTTAGAAAATATTTCTCCCTGTGACAACGGCTGATGCAAAGCTTTCGAAACGTTGGGCCATAAGAAAATTAATTTTTAAATAAGTTTATTAATATTTCGCGTTTTAAACCGTTAAAGTGTTTATTTAAAAAAAGGTATTTTAGACATCGGTTTTGAATGTTATCTCTCGTCTACATATCTCTATATAAAATATATAAGACTAATATAGCTAACCACCGGCATAAACTAGTGATGTACCTATCTGCTAAGTATATAATTGCATTGAGGATATATAACGTGCACAGCACTATATTTAGCAGCGCTGTCTGCTGTCTCGATAAATCCAACTCGGCTAATTATTTGCCCGCGGTTATCTCTATTGGGGTGTGTTCCCATTGCACATGCGGTGAAAAAGCACGACATACGTCAAAGACTAAACGAACTACCATTTGTCTTTAACTTTTTTTGTTGAATCTGCATGTAGGACACGGTAGCTCAGACAGTTAAAGTTTAGGCCGTAAATTTTTTTTTCAATCTAAAATCGATTTTTAGTATTTATAGTGGCATCATGTGCAATAACGTGCAAAAATATTAAAGTTTTCATACAAATTTACTACTTTTTGCTGTCATACGTAGAAAGCTTTAAAATGAAGATTAAAAATTGGAAAATAACTTATAATAAATAACACATGTCATTAGTGCGCACATGATGTTAGTTCTATGTTACTTTAACGTTGTAAGTATTTAATTTAATCTTATAAGGCTTTTGCCATTTTGCACGCTGCTAGCTATTATAGAAATATTATTATTTTCGACATCACCAGTGGATGTTACTACATTGTAAATATATTGAAGTTAGCCAATAGACACAAAAAAATCAATAGGATATCGCGATGCATATCATTGTTGATCTGGCTGTTCGGAAGACGTAAGCTAGAATAGGTTCTCGACGTTTCGCTATCACGCCTTACACGATTTATGAGGATATCGCGAATTGATAAAACCGTGACGCCGCAATACAATGAAAACGTACCAACTATGAAGCATTTTATCCGCTGGAGCGCGGTACGTTTGTACGATGTAGTGATTGTCAAGAAACCTAGTAACAATGTAATGTACAAACTTGCCTCTCGTTAAGACAAACTGAATAATTTCTGTATGTGATCTGATAACAGGAATTCAATAGGCTTACGCTTAACATGTTCATGCGTCTGGCTTCGCTCGACTGTTTATTGTAATTATTTGTCACTGTATTACAGATTATATTTATGTCATAATTTAATTGGTTGATGGTACGTGAAATACGCCTATACCACTTAACATCTAAAGCGCTGTCTATTTTCAGTCTGACAGACTGAAACCGAAATGGGAGTTAACTTGATAGCTTTTTCATGTGGATGGTGGTTCGTGGCGTAATTTGGATAGTCCTACCACCCATCTAATATCCAACATATTTCAGAGAAATTATAAACTGACAAGATAGACACAATAGACGTTTTCTCCAAACTTCAAAAATTTAAAAGCCACATTCAAAAAAATGGCAAATGACTTTGTCTTGTTTTAATATTGTAATTAAATGACGCATTTAAGTTTACTGTCATATATTTTATATCTAATTTCATATATAATACATAATCGTCACATACATTATATTAAGTTTTATTTATTTATTTATTATTGCTTTATTATTTATAAAACACACCACAGAAAATACACATAAATGAGGAAAAATCTTATGTGCTAACTTATAAATAAAAGGCGGCCTTATCGCTAAGCAGCGATCTCTTCCAGGCAACCTGAAGTACAGGAAAAAAAAAACAAATTTCGTGGGTAGGTGTAAGGAATAACAAAGAATATCAAGGTACACAGTGAAAGTACATACAACGAGTAGGAGAGACTAACTACTACTACTACTAACTAACTAACTAACTTAAATATTGTAAAACTTATACAACAGACTCTTAAAAGAACGGAGTGATTGAGCTTTTCTGATATTAGTTGTTTTTTTACATTAAGCTTTTATTATGTACTAGCTGTGTCAGCGACTTCGTCCGCGAGAATCATTATTTTGGGCATTCAAATAGTTTTTGCAAACCCCTTACCCTTTATAAACTTAATCTGTTACCCACTACGTCGGTCGCGTCCCTCCCCGTCGTTCTTGCAAAATAATCTTAAAAGATAAACATACAGCGTCGTGGACATTTTTAGATCATTTTAAGAGGAATAATTCTTATTATGTTTTAGGTATCTTGAACCGTTTAAATAAGACACTTTAACGGTTTAAAACGCGATTAGTTAAACTTATTTGAAACGTCGGGCCGAAGTTAAAAATCACATTCAAAAAAGTTTAAGTAATATATCGCGTTTTGAACCGTTAAAGTGTTTTATTTAAATCTTGAACCGTTTCTGCAGCGTGCGCCTCGAAAACCCATAACCATGAATAATTTTCCTAAATATTGTCACATTTCTCGCTGTGTCTTCCTCGATAAATGCTCTAACCAACACGAAAAAAATATTTTTCAATTCGAACTAGTAGTTCTCGAGATTAGCGCGTTCAAACAAACTCTTCAGCTTTATATATTAGTATATAGATTTAGTTGATAAGCTTTGAGATAAATAAATAAATTGGAAAGATGATGGACCCGGTGGGGTCATTACATCGCTACATTACACCAACGAGCTCGTCATAAGTTCGTATTTACTTCATTTCTCCTTCAGTATCATGCTCACCTTTCCATCAAGCACTGTCTGCTCAGGTAATCCGTCACCCTGGTACTCCACGTTGTTGGCTTGGGAGCCATAGTTGGACTGAGCCTGGACACCCACCAGAAGAATGGCCACGCCGCACCACAATAGCGCCATCTTTGACTGTAACTGTAAAGTACATGAATTAGAGTCTGTATTTTTTTTTAATTATTATTTCTATAGAGAATTCTTTTTCATCAATAATTAGGTACAATATATAAAGAAAAATAAAAAATATCCTAGAGTAGAGATTACTTATTTTTGTATGTACTTATGTTGAACCAATCTTTTTATATATACACAATGAAAAAGTGATATCCCTTTCCCCTAATGGGGCTTGGGGCAAACAAATTTTTTTGAGTCTTTTCACTGACCGGTTCTACATACAGATTGATCCGACTTAAGTGCCTTGCTCGGCCGAAACAATTTATTGTTTTTACAGGATTCGAACCTAGAACCTCTGGCGCTAACGCAATGCAAGGCTACACGTTTAAAGGTTTACCTACAGAGAAGGTCATATTGCACAATGAACAGACAAACATAGAACATTATTAAATAGTTGCACTATTTTGCGTCTGTAATTAATTGAATAAGTTTGAAGTATTTAAATAAAACACTTTAACGGTTTAAAACACGATATATTCGTTAAACTTATTTAAAAATGATTTTTAACTTCGGCCCGACGTTTCGGATGCTTTGCAGCAGCCGTGGTCACGGGGAGACATTTATTTAAATGTGTACTACTCGCGTAAACTATAGACAGTATTTAAGTTTGAAGTAGATTTTATTACGGTCTTTTGTTTGCATTGCGTTGATCTAAATGCACCTATATTTTGTTGCAATGTGAACTGTTGAGATATCAAACATTGCAAGGGCCACTTACCCTACAGCCGTAACATTTAATCGTTCCCAACTAGGGGGCAATTCACAACTAAATAACATAAGATGTTTTACCAACATATGTCACGTACTATGTCAAATTTTAATTGGTGACAGAAACCAATCATTTTAATCCCTTATTTTTTTTAGGTTTTAGATATTTATTAAAGAATGTACATACATTCACTTATTTTTATGTTAAATAAGTATTAAAGTGAGAAATTGGGACAGTAGGTATTATTATTAAACAGAATTATAATAAGGAGGTAGTTATGAATAGTCTATCTAGGCATTACTATCGAGCTATAATGTTGTCGGCGCTAACGCAGCTTATAAATAAATACATTTTAAATGTAGCTTTTGTGTTTCTAATTATTTTAAATTAGGCGTTTGTATGTATGTTTTGTTTTCATTATGAATTTTCCTAAGAATGTCTGGTTACCATTGTTACGCTAGTGCTGGAAATAAAGAACTTTTACTTCCATTGGGGCAGGTAGGTTATCAAATTTATGATTTATCAAACTGTATCCAGAATTATACATTAACAGAAATAACAGTGTGTTAGATAAATTGTATATCACTTCTGTGAGAATCGCCCACCTAGACTCGAAGGACATATCCCGTTACAAACCGAGTGTCAATGGCTCGGCAACTTTTTATTGTCGCATAATAACGAGGATTTATTTCCTGAAAACATCGTACACGCCATTACGACAAGTTTATGAGCGAGACCGTAATGTAAGTACTTATTATATTAGTCGTAATTCTTCATGTGGCTGTCTCGGTGGTTCAATGTAACCTTCTATATCGTTTGATACTTGCTATAAAGCTAAAGAACTTAATATAAATACATTAGGCTAGAAGAAGGTGAAGCTGTGTGTGTGTGTCTGTCCTTTCTTTTGCTATTTGATAATAACTTCGCGTAATTTTTTTACGTATTCCATGAAAAAAAACACTACGCACTAAGATTAAAAGATGGATCACAAACCTAATCTTGTTTGCCGTTTGCAAAATTTGGAAGAATATAAGATTACACATATAAATAAATACTATACTTTACTACTAATTAAAAAGCTCATGCATGCAAAATCATAAAAAATTAAGGTATTTTACTCTTAAGAGCTTAAATTACACCTATCTATTATGTATTTTTTCTAACTTGTCAAAAGACAACACATATGCCCCCTTTTAAACCTTAGAGAGAAACAGTAATAACCTTTTATAGGTTGAAATTTTTACCACAGGTGACATAAGTAGGACTTCTGTCTTCTATTGTCGTTGACTTTGTTTACATCGTAACGTATCGTTTACATTGTAAATGTCAAATTTAAGAAATGTAATCTGTCCATTTATGTTACTTCATTATTAGGATTTTTATTAAGTGAATGTGAGGTAGTTAATTAGTTTCATATATAATCCGGTGTCTCAAAGTGTTCTAGTGTAAATCAAAATAAACCTTGTGAAAAATCACGATTTCATGTAAATTGTGTTTATTTACGAAGAATGATTATTTAGAAAAATACACGATAGACATAGACCAGTCTGGTTGAATGACATTGTCGCACTTATTAAAATGACCAAAAATGCTCATGTCCCAAGTTCAACGTCCGCAAAGCGCCGACGTTCTTGCCAATAAATTTTGCGGCAAGTGTGTTTAGCAACCTCGAAGATGTACCGCCTTTCTTGCTTTTCATTTTAAAAGGAACCCATTAAAGTTGATTTGAATAATCATAATTTTTTAAGCTTTAACGACATATTGATAATGAAATTGGGAATGGAATTACTTTTGAGAAATTTGATCTGCTGTTTTCTTTTGCATAATCATAAACAGTCAACCGATATAAATAGCACACTTTAACGGTTTAAAACGAGATATATTTTATTTAAACTTATTTGAAAAATATTTTAACTACGGCCCGACGTTTCGTTTTCTGGTAAAATTAATTTTCAAATAATTTCAACTAAAATATATGTCGTTTTAAACCGTTAAAGTGTAATACTAATACTACTCGCGTTAAGTACAGACAGTTGCAATTCTATGCTTTTTTTAAAGAATAAAAATCTTTTAAAAATCATACTAGAATTTTTTTATAAAATTCAGGTATCCTACGCTTAACTTTTAAAAGTATAATATAATATATTATTTAAATAAATAAACACTTTAAAGTGTTTAAACGAAAAATATATTAATTAACTTGTTCAAATTTTATTTATTATCTACAAGCAATACTTATTTCACTATATTTAGATTTTAAGTGTAGCTTACTTTTTTCAGTTTTGACAGGTATTTTTTATTATAATCCTTTCAACCTGTCATTGTATAAGTAGCTTTGACATCTTTCGCCATATTAAAATACATTTTGTGCCTCATCAATCATTCTTAATCGTGTTTAAGTTAATTTATATTATGTCGTGGTAAAGCACGTATAAAAATTTATGAGAGAGTGGTAAATAATTATATTCCTGGCGCTATGTGCTGCTGCTTCCTATATTTAATTTAAACTATGTATAAACATAATTATTAACACTAACAAATCGAATCTGAATTTATAGAGGAGGCAAGGCAAGCATTCACTTGATGGTGATATAACCCATCCTATAGCATCTAAACAAGATGTTTTACAGCCTTCCTCGATTAGTGCTCTAACTAACACAAGAATTTTTCAATTCGAACCAGTAGTTCCTGAGTTTCCCGCGTTCAAACAAACGAACGAACAAACTCTTATTTAGATTATAGATTTATATTATTCGGATTTGAATTTCGAACTTTACTACACCCTTTAAGCTAGTGTTTGGAGTATAAGGGCATGTTGACTTTTAACCACTAAGCATTTGTATTAAAATTCATAGGGCTTTTAAAAATATCCCAATTAAGCCCACCTCGGTCATTCCATAATGTTAAGAACGCAAATCATAAAAGTTCAGCGCCTCGAACGGCACCTCATTACGAAATACTTTGTCCACATCAGGCCATAATTGTCCGCGCTAAAGCAAAGCCTTTTTGTTCTAGGACTTTTTAATTGCGTTCTTAGAAATTTCAGAACCTGTGTTATACAAATCTGACTTTCGTATGTAGAAGCTTAGTTATTACGAAACTTTATCATAAGCATTTGAAGAAAATATTTCAAAAAGAAAATATTTCAACATGCCTTTCATCCGGGCCCCAAATTGTTAAAACGAATATCAATAAACAAATGAGATAAGAATAGTGTTATATATTTTTTAAACATTAAAAACATGTTATGGTTGAAATTAGATTGCGCGAGCGGTGCATTTATCAATAGTTTGAAACAAATTCAAAGATTAAAAAACACTGACTTTTAAATAAAACACTTTAACGGTTTAAAACGCGATATATTAAGTAAAGTTATTTGAAAATGATATTTAACTTCGGCTTGACGTTTCGGATGCTTTGCAGCAGCCGTGGTCACGGGGAGACACCGTGGTCTTAAGTAATATATCGCGTTTTAAACCGTTAAAGTGTTTTGTTTAAATGTGTACTACTCGCGTAAACTATAGACAGTATTTAAACAATTGACTTAACAAACTTAATATCTGTTATCTTTTTTCCTCTTTTTTGTTCTTTGTGACCTCAAAATGCTTAAACAAGAGCTGTTATTATAAGTTCCCGAGGGGCATACTGGCTGGATGTACATATTTAGCCATACAATTAAAAAAAAAAACAGATTTTTTTTATTATAAACCTTGGCATAAGTTATTGTCAGTTTTTTTTTGCGACCAGTCAGTCGAGGTTCTATACAATTGGAACTTAAAGCTTAGCGATACATCACACGCCTCTATGCTCTATGATTAGCATTCCGGCTCGAGTTGAGCGTCTGTGGGTGCAATGTCATCGCCCACAGAGCTTCCATTCACATGCAAAGTGCTCATAAATACTTCGACTGAATGATGCGAAAAATCATCAGCATTTGTAAATATTCTTCAAAAAACAGTACTTACATCTTATATTAAGAATTATTATTAATTAGGTATTGTGTACATAAATCAGATGAATAAATGGAGCGGACACATTTTTATGTTCGTTTTACTAATCTTTTTCACTTATATTTCTCTAGTGTAATAATATTTATTTAATAATATTGTCTGTAGTTTAAGCAAGTAGTACACATTTAAATAAAACACTTTGACAGTTCAAAACGCGATATATTTTAGTTAAACTTGTTTGAGAATTATTTTTAACTACGGCCCGACGTTTCTATTTCGTAGTATTGCCTGTAGTTTGCGTTATTTCGTTTTATTGTCGGTAGTTTGCGCGAATAGTATAAATTTAAATTAAACACTTTTAACAGTTCAAAACTCGAAATGTAAACGCGGATACAATAAGTGTACCGATCAAAAGGCGACATAAAACCAGAAATTCTTTAAGGTACTGCATATGGTATTAAAAAAGCCCTAGTGAAGTGCAAACAATGTCAATAAATAAGTTTAAACAAAATCTGCTTAATAGTTAAATAATATTTCAATAATTATTATAATAAGGAAAAAGTGTACCATTAAGTGCGCAAGGATTGTAACAAAAACTTAACAATGAAAGGAGTGGCGGCGAGTTTTTTGCCAGTTCTTCTCTTTCATTCTATATATTAAAAGAGAACATGTATAGGATCAATATATGTTCTCTTTTAAAGGTTATCAATTTGACAGATTCTGTCAAGCTATAATAACAACAACAAAGAAACAAAATCCAAACGTATTGCAAATAAATACTCCATAGTTATATCAACGATTTTCAACCACATTACAAATAAAATAAGATCTACGCCACGAATGTTTTATGACGTAATTCGACCTCCTCAATACATTTTCGGTAACAACTTTCACTTTTAGTCCAGCGATAATATATGCTCATTGTTTCTCATTTTGTATGCAACCTGTTGTGAGATATTTTGTAACGTTAAGAGTTATTGTCTAGATGCATTGACGAGAGATCGCGAAGCTCAAACAAACATGATAATAATATATAAATGTCTTATCTATATTATACCTTTCACTTGTTAAACATTATATGTTTAATATTAACATAATTTCATTGTTATATAGTAGGTGAAATACTTCAGCCATATAATATCTATACTAGAAGCGCTGCCAACGTATTTGGAATTTGGATATTCGGAAATCCACAGACTGATCCCGAAACGCGATTAATTTTCACGGATTTTCACCTGTGGACGGTAGTTCGTGACCCCGACGGAATTTCGATAGTCCAAAATGTCTCAAAAATTCATAAAAAAAACTTGTTGGACCCGATGGGAATCGAATCCACGACCCGTTGATTATTATTCTTATATAGCTTCCATTGCATCAAATAGCCCGTCAACAATTTATGGTGTTTTGTGTTGTAAAAAATTGAATGTATATAAATAAAACACTTTAACGGTTTAAAACGCGATATATTAGTTAAACTTATTTGAAAAATGATTTTTAACTTCGGCCCGACGTTTGTGGCCCGGCCCCGTGACCACGGCTGCTGCAAAGCATCCGAAACGAAGGGTCGTAGATAAAATAAATAAAAAAGTATATAAACTGATATTTTTAAAGTTTTGAATAGTTACAATTATTTTTGTAAAATGTAGTACGCATTCGGGTAAAATACATGCAATACTTGAACCTTTTTATTAAAATAATTAATTTGTAATTTCCAGAAAATTTACTTTAACCAGTTTCCTTTTCTTCTCTATACTAACTACAATAAGTTTTCTCTATGTTCGCAATATTGGGGAGAAAAAATACAAGTTCCATAGTACTGTTAAATTGTTATTAAATATATGATTAATCTAACTAAGAACTTAGAACCAGTTGTGAGTAAGCGAGTGAGATACTATTGCGAATTTCTTACACAATGCAGACCGGTATCGAAGATTTTAGGTCAGATTATACAAGTACCTTAGGACGAGATCTTAGCACTAATATATTTCACTAGTACTGCTTGTCATTGCGTACATAATTGCTTTTAGGGTTCCGTACGAAAACCTAAAACAGGACCATATTTATAAGAAGGCATATTTAAATTTAAACAAACAATAAATAATTAAAATTAAATTTTGTTATTTATTGCTTTTAAGATAAATATTTGAACTATTTGTTTCTAATTTTGACTTGACTGATTTTTAATAAGACGATATTCTGTCGTCGTGAGTTCAAATCATAGATCATAGACATAGATGGAGCCAGTTGTTAGCTCTTAACTTTGAATACTTTTAATATTTTTTACATGTTATTGCACATGAAGGCACTAAATAATATAATAATAACAAATCGAAAAAAAAAATTACCCAGTCACTCGGTAACTCAATTGGTAAAGCAACAGTACGGAACGCTGACTCAGATACCGGTTCAAGTCCTGCCCGAGACGAAATTTTTATCAATTTATTTTCGATTTTTTAATTATATAGCTCTTAACTTTTCACTAAGATTTTTTGAATATCTATACAAACATGTAAAATGCCATTATATTTATAATACAGTTACAGTTAACAAATTAATTTATTTATTACTTTAGTTCAAGTATATAATATAACAACAACTGTCGTTTTTACATTGTTTTATTTAGAACTTAACAAAAACAATCTGTCGAAGACAGATTTCAACCTGGGATCCTATATGAATAACACTAGATTTCTAAAAAACGGCATACCGAGAAACGAACAGATACCATGAGTCGGCTCTGTAAATACCCAGCCAGTAAGTTTCACTAATACCAACAAACAGAAAACAGATGGCGCTACCATAGCAGATTTTGACTTCGACATTAGGGACCCCCACCATCTTTAATCCCGAGTGACAACGACTGTTGCAAGGCAACCGAAATGCAGCCGTAAAATAAATCGTAAATAAATTAACTAATAAATTTCGTGCTTTAAGCCATTGCAACTTTTTTATTCAAATAAAGCCTCCCAAGCTAAATTCACCTCCATATTTCTCCATTGGTCACGCAAACCGATTGCGTAGTCCTAAATCCCACGATAAACAAGAGAGTAGGGCCTAGTTTTTCTCCTAACAAAAACTCGCGACAATAAATCAAAATTAACGTCAGATAACGCTTGAATCCCGTTTTTGTGCGGAGAGTAAACAGGCAAGGCATAAAAATGTGTACTTAACATTTTTCACACATAGTTAATAGGCTTTTTCTACCACCTTTGCCGCGTCGATACTGACGTATTCATGTATCTTATTAAAGTCGTGTTTTTCTTTAGTACGCAAGTGAACACGCTATGTTATTCCATTTAGATCGAACCTAACACCCTAGTTATAATAAACTAAAACTTGAAACAAACAAGCATTGCCAATTTAGCCATACCGCATACCACCACGCTAACGGTGTCAATACAACATTCACTTCATATGGCAATCGTTACTTTGCCATAAGCTGTTTGTTTTGTTTGTTTGTTTGAACACGCTAATCTCAGGAACTAATGGTTCGATTTGTTTGTATTAATTGGACTATCGAGGAAAGTAGTAGGCTATAAAACGTAATGCTGAGCGGGGCGAAGAAACCGCGGGAACTTCGAAAACATTTAAAGATACGAAAAAGTAAGTATAAAAGAATTTTACTGAAGATAAACTCACAAGAACCATTGATATGGTCATCAAATTTGGTCGAAATACTTATATGGTAAAAGCACGTTTGTTAGGTCAGCTAGTAATGCATACTAATAACTTTTTAATACGAGACCACTACATCGAAATCTATTTACTTCTGACTGACAATTTTTCTAAACAAATTCACGATCTACTTTAGTCAAAACAAAAATTCAACTTATCCATATAGCACCGCCCCATAGCTAAATGGTCAAACGTACTCAGGATTGCGTTAAAACCTAGAGGGTTCGTATATTGGTTTAAAATCCCGGCAAAACAATAAATTTGCTATCGAGACTGGATATATAACGGGTGTTAGGAATATTGAAATTCCGACCGGATCACGACCCACCACCTTTGAAAAAGACCGTAAATTTAATCGCGTTTCGGTTACAGTCTGTGGATATCCGAATATCCAAAGCCGAAATAGGTCGACAGCGTATCTTGTTTGGATGTTAAATGGCTATTTATTATTATGGAGTATTTTACCTACCATCAACCCCTCGCTTGTCTGTCCGCCTCTACAGTAAAAAAAATCTTCTAGAGACTAAATAGAACCATGAGAAAATATGCCCGTATTTTCATGAATATACCATCCCCATTGAAATGTCTTGTATAACGAGCGATATGCCGATAGCCTTAAATTCAACCTTTTTTATTCACAACGATCCAATTTAGCCCTTATACGTATGTACGTAGAGTTGACAACTATTAAGCGTTTGTAACTTTGTTGCACTATCAAGATAGTATGAGATGCGAGTATTATTTAGATTATTTATGTTTCTAGAAACTTATAGTGTTCTATATATCTTGATAAATCGTGTGGTTCTGTTTTAATGGACTACAGACTATTATAATATGTATTAAAGTCTGTCTGGGATTTGGACATCATAGAATGATCAAATGGACTAATTAGTTATTTATTTTGTTTATATATTTAGTTTAAGCTTTTATGTTTAAAAAGTATATACAGTTTTGTTCTCATTTCTCAATTTTAAGTCCATGCAAAAATAGAATTATTTATGTTTATTTGCCTCACATACCGAGTCATAATGAGAATCTAACGTGCCTCATAGCTCTGTATTACGTTAATTACAACAATTTTCTAGGAATTTACTTTCAAGACTACGCAATTAAATAGTCACTTGTGAAGTATGAATAATTCCACTTCCAGAAGGTCATATGCAATATTGTTCTTTTAATTACATGACATTTATAAATAAAAAATAAAAAAATATGTTTATTGTCTCTCTTTTAATGATAAAATTACAACTTACATTACTTACTTTTTATATTTTATTTACATGACATGTAATATTTATGTTATTAAATATTTTATTCTAATTTATTTGGCAATATGAAATTTCTTACCTTTGATTTGTAAAAACAAGATGGCTGAAGAGCTAATTTGGTGGGAAAAGCTTCGTCACATTGTCGTCTCGTTTCTGAAACAGAAGAAAGCTGGCGTTTAATTTTAGCTATACATAATTTAATCTATAAGTACTGGCGATATACTACAGCTTTATATATAAAAAAAACGGGTTTTTAACGGTTGAGCCCAAGTTTTTAGACATATGCAACAAAAGGCGGGAATCAGCAATTTGCGAAAAATACAAAGGTATTTTAAAATGAAACCTACATTCTTCATAGTAGTTAATCCATATTTACTTGATACAGTAAACAATTATATTTGCATTATCAGACATTATTTAAAATACGTTTCACAGACAATATAATTTAAAATTAAACAAAAAACGTATTCTGATTTAAATAATAAGCACAGATAATACAACGCTCGCAAGTGTATCACCTTGATCAATAAACAAAGGAACCTTTCGAATCTCATTGTAAATTAACAAGTAATAACTCTCGGAACGTTGTAACGTGATAAAAAGTCAACCGTTATCGAGACAATGCTTATAAAACAGTGGTATCGCTCGCTCTTTTGTATGTAGATCTATTGTCAAGTGAATACACCTTCAGTAGTCTTGGATATTTGACGTTTATAAAAAATAGATACAGGTTATTGTGACTTTGAAGTTTTTATAACTGGCTGGCTATAAACGATACATTCGGAGCTACTTTTATTTCTAACTTCTTAATAACATCGATTTTTCGCCAGATCTTTGACAAGACTTTACCCAAGAATCAGAAATCCCGTTTTACCAGCATGAGTGGGCCTCTAGATTTTATTCACAATGACCTTTAAAACACTCGCTGAGCTCTATTAGGCTACTAGAGGCGGAGTGGCCTAATAACAAAAAACAAGACTTTCAATAAGGTGAAATTGCGCTTTTAACTTTAGCCAAATTTAATTGGTACTATTATTTGTGTAAGAATAATGTTAACAATTTTCTATCACTGTGATCTTCTAGATTAACATTGAACTGTGAAAATATAAATAACTCAAGTCATAAAAATTGCAATTAGGCTACTCTGCCTGTAGCGGACTCATATATGTGTTTTATTAAAATACAGCTATTTTCCATTCTCGTTTTATTCTAAGAACGTAAAATAACTACAATCATTGTTTTACCGCGTAAAGCTACTCGTTGCGAATGACAATGTATGAGTCAATTTGTACTCAGTGTGTCGCATCGAACAAATATTCCGAGTATTGACCATCCGGACCATCATCACATAAATAAATAATTAAAATGACGTGTGTTAAACAACGCATATGAAATCTATTAACTTAAAGCTAATTATTAAATCTTAAAGTGTTCCTTCGATCGTTTTCATTAAATTAAACATGTAAATATTCGATAAATAGTATATTTTTTCAACGACTAAGCACGATGATAACATTCCTTATGTCAAATTTATGCGTTTTTAAGTTACAGAACTATTAAATTAAATTTGAGTATTGACCTGAATTATATAATTGCTTAATTGAGTCGTTAATATCAATTTGTTGTTACTATGACTATAAAGTAATTGCGGTTACAACAAATATTGAAATAGTATATAACTTATCAAACTTGCAATTAACTATTATACTTTAATCCTAGTAACAAAGAATTTTCATTAAAAAAACCTCTACAAGTTTAAAGTAACAAAGTTCAGAGTTTTTCCTTTACTTAAGTCAACCGTTGCACTACACTTTATCGTTTAAACAGATAATGGGATAAAACCTTTTTCTTTAATCACATGTTTATTTTTTATCTGTAGCTGTCAAGGACAAGACCGCAAATAGGCGGGAAACTTGTTTGATACAAACGTCTAGTTAGCTTGAAATGTGACGTGCCGGTATTTTAGAGCTTTTTATGCAAGGAGGTTGAGGTTTTATTTTTCGATTGTAAAATGCTGTATCTTCTTTTACTAGAAAATAAACGCTTTAATGAACCATTGATGGTATAAAAATAGAAATTATAAGTAATGGCGCCAGAGTGGTTGGTTGATAAATTGCTTGTTAAAAGGGAACGGTTTTGCTTACAATATTGCATGTAGAGTACATAATCTGTATCCATAAACGTTCCGTTTGTGTAGAACGAACTATATTTTTAATAGGGCTTCATGAAATACTAAATATGTTATTATAATTTTTATTGTTTATATGAAATAGAATCGTTTAATAGATTTTTATAGCTTATCGTTGACGTAATTTCAACAATTTACTTTTAACAGTACGAACCATAACCTAGAAAAAAGTTGCAATGACGTAGGTATGGATCGCCGAATAAATATTCAATGTGTGCTCTATTACAAGAATAGTGTAAAATAAATGTTAAAAGAGTCTTGCAGATTAAATTGAAACATACTAAGTATAATTACATCAAAACAAGTGGGAGTTTCAAGGCTGTAGAATAAAAATGTATTTTCTTATACACAGCAACAGGAAACTGAGTCAGAGGTGACGGCATGACAAGAAAATACAAGTATTGGAATATTAATGATGTTTTTATCCATCTTAGAATTATTAGAATCGAAAACTTTGAAGGCTTTTTTAGATAAATTCATAACTGGCTATTTACGTTACTTCAAAAGTAATAATGACAAATTTTATACTTTTAATTTTGAGCTTATTAAGTACCTTTCTTATTTTACATTGGCTGTTATGGTGATATAGATAATAATATAAATATACCAACGAACGACCGCCAAATTCAAAGAAAGAGTGAGACCTTGTGATCAACCTCTAAATATGAATTTACTTAACCTTAAATATAAGGATACATCAAACATAATATTGTAGTAACAAGCGTAGTTCCTCGCAATACACAAATTTGATTTATATTATCCGCTTTATGCTTATTGCCTTACGTAAAATTTACTTTGCCTTCATACAAGCGACATCAACGAGATCATAGTCTGTAATTCATCTTAACTAAAATTGTTTAAGTTTACGTTTTAAACAGTTCAAATTATTTATATGCAGGCATAAAATACAGGTTCGCGAAAATTTTAATAAATCTTGCGTGGGTATATTATCTCCACATACAGAGCAACAGGATAACTTAATTAAATGTTTAAAAGTTAGGGACATTTCACCTTTCATTAAGTGAAATCCAAGCTTGACTATTCAGTCATAAAAAACGGAAATATTGAGGAAAACTGTTACATCTCATCATCTATTTTAGACAGAGCGCATATAATTTTATATCAGTTTGTCGTTATAAATGTGTAAGCAAAGAGGTTGGATATCTGATTCATCTTTAGCATGTTATAATCTGTAGTCTTGAATCAACTATTCCATTTTAAGTATAAAAGAGGATTTATTGGAACTCGCATTGCGTTAACACCTACAGTGTCCTTTGCGGGCGTGGCCTCATTACGTCATTGTTTACGTAACATCCGTTTTCGATTAGATATTTCACAGCCAAACTAGGTATAACCTCTTTAAATATTTGCCTTGAAAACATATACGTGTTCGTCTCATTATTGTTTCTTACGTGTTATTTGATAGTTTTTGTGGAAATTTGGGATTTTATGGTAGAATTCGTCATTTGAAAACAAATATATAAATCTTTAAAGGTAAATTTAATAAATTCTTGGCTTATTCGACAAGTTTCTATCGTGGTTGGTTTAAGCTGTAAACGTAGCCATTAACGTATACACTAGGACATTAACAGGTAAAAACGATTAATTTATACGAATATTATAAAGCCGAAGAGTTTGTTTTTTTGGTTGGACCATTAATAGAAAGCTTTGGGCTATAAAACATCAGACTACAGGGAGTAAAGAAACAGAACGATTCGAAAATTGTTAATCTTTGAGGGCTTACGTTACGTGCCCTACGAAAACAGTTCAAAAGAAACCAAAAATTACGTATGAAATAATGATTCTTCTTGAAATCATACAAACCTGTAAGATTAACACTCAAGAACGACGGAAAATGGACGACGTCGTGGACAACAGCTATAATTTACAGACTGAGGAGGTTGTTTGCAAAAGTAAATAATAATATGATGTTTAAATAAAACACTGTAACGGTTTTAAACGCGTTTTAAATCGTTACAGTGTTTTATTTATCGCGTTTTAAACCGTTACAGTGTTTTATTTAAATGTGTACTACTCGCGTAAACTATAGACAGTATTTAATAATATGATGCCCAAAATAACCATTCCACGAAGACGGAGTCGCGAGATCAGTTTATACAATAATAAAATAGATGCTTTTAGAATTCCGGTTAAAGTTAAATTAATTTCTGTCAGACTGAATACTAATGATGTCCTACAGAATTGGCTTCTAAGAACTTAAGGGGATTATGTTTTGTTTGAAGAGGAAAACTGATTTTTTAATTATAAATCGTACATTCTATAAGTATAGGGCTTCTTGTCTGGCATTGAATGTATAAGTAGCTACATGTTATAACTAAGTACGTACGTCGTTACATAGTCATTTTATAGCTAGTTACTATAAACATATAGTTATTTAGAATCATTGTATCACAAGTCAAAAGATAAACAAATTACACGGAAGCTATATAAATTATTACGTAACACGTATTTGTATAGTTTATTTTCTTAAATATCTAAAACAAACATTTTCACAATCGCTTCCGTTAGAAATAATTAATAAGAATCCGTTTTTTCGTGAAATATAATTCCACTTAACAAGGATAAAGACATTTCGTTAATAGAAAGATGTGCAATTGTTATCAATCATTAAATTTATTTATATTAACTTATAATGTATGTATATTGTTTATAGTTCATATAATGTGTACAATTGGAACGCATGTTTCTTTTAGCCATTAGCTTCTATCTATACTAATATTATAGGAGTTTGTGTGTTTGTTTAAACGTGCTAATCTCAGTAACTATTGGTTCGAACCACGATGCGACTAATAGGAGCGAGAAAATGTGGGAAATGTGGAAAAAACGGGAAATTATATTTATATTTGAGGGCTGCCGTTGCACGCGTTACGAAAACAATTAAAAAAACCTGAAATCTATGTATGAAAGAATGATTCCGGCATTATTACGGTAGACATCTACCGTTTAAGATTAATTTGCAACAACGATGCGATGCGGACGACGTCGTGATTAACAGCTAGTAATGTATAATGTTTATAGTGCATTTAATATATACAATTGGAACGTATGTACGTACGTATCACCAAGCTGAAATGTAAATAAAACAGGGTCCAGACAAAGTAAACATTACAAGTTATGGACGATAATTGAGTTAACACCTCAAGATAACCTGTTTTGGACCTTTTTACGATCATCCACAATTATTGAGAAAACTGGGGACTGCATATTGATACGATTTTAAAATTCTCAATTGAAATAAAACCTTAGTATACGCGATGGTACTGGATTCCTTCCAACACATTTACATCTTTGAAGTGTGAACTTAAGAATAAATAAATATCCATTATGTTTGTGTATGTTTGTTTT